TCAGACCGCAGTGCATTAAAAAACGACACCAGCTTGAGCTCTGCAATACTTTGACAAACTGTTGTCAATAAACACCGTCCGTCCATTACTACATCCATAAATGTAGGTTAAGACTGTTCTATGCACTGTTGAAATCACATAACAACATCAAGAAACACCGCCGACTTCTCTGGGCCCAAGCTCATCTGACGAGTCTACCGTTCAGACTGTTTATGAAAATAATGGACATCATGTTCTCTGGATTAAAGAAGAAAAGCACCATCCAGATTCTTACCAGCACAAAGTTCTAAATCCAGCATCCTTCATTGTTGGGGGGACTGGGTAATCTGCACATCTGTGAAAGCTCCATTAACACTGAACTCATTTTGGAGCAACACATGCTGCCTTTTAGATATCGTCAGGGACGTCCATGTTTATTTCAACATGACACACCAAGAAACATTCTGCATGTGTTACAGCAGCATGGCTGGATAATCAGAGAGTGCAGGTGCTGGACTGACCTGTCTGCAGTCCAAAACTGTCTCATATTTAACACGTGCAAAATACAACAGTGAAGGCTCTGTATGGTTGCACACCTGCTTGTATAACAGAAGAACAGCAAAGTATTCTGCTTTCAAAACTAGATAAGTTTGTGTCTTTAGTCCAAATGATTATTAACCTTCAGGAAATCACTAAGGACTGACCATCACGCCGGAAACCCTTCATTCTTCATTCAGTCCACATCGGAGACTCGTGAAATGGCGTGCAGAGAGTTTACAGCGGCTGAAGTTGCTGCAGCAGTTATGGAAAGTAGTGATGAAGATAACAGAGCATTTTGATATGAAACATGAGGATCATGTTATATAAAGAGCCTTTAAAGGAGAGTTTAAGAAGGTATGAACAAATTGAGAGATGACCTCAGACCACAGAGGGTTGAGTGCTATTAAAAGGAAATATGATGTAACACAGTGTAAACATGCTCCTGTAACAGCTGTTTTGGAACATGTTGCCGGCATCAAATTTGGCATGATTGTATGTTTACAAAAAACAATACAGTTCATAAGATAAAGCATTTGTGTGTTTTGTACTGTGTTCAATTTAATTCAGGTCAAACAGAATTTTCTAACCACTGCTTTCTGTTTTTAGAATTAGATTTAAGTCTTAAATTTAAGTTTTCAGTTATTTTGGAGAAAAACAGAGTCAATAAACATTTCGACTGGTTAATTTGCAAATTCACTAAAAGAAAGCTTTGTCTTCAGTACCTTTAGTTAAGGAAAAGATTCCGTTTCAATGGTTAATATTATCATTATCATTATTAAAGTTGCAGACACACTGCGCCAGGCTTTTCATTTCTACATTTTATTTATATATGTATACGCATATCCAGCTGCATGAATGTGTTTAGAAGGTGAACGAGGTGTCGGTTCTAGATCCGATTCTGTGTTTAGTCGCAATGCAGTTATAGCAGTTCAGAGAAGAGAAAGATTCTGCTTTGAAGTTCACTTATTGTCAGTTTCATCTACAACAAGTTGCATAGCAGACTGAACTCATTACAGTGTTTTCCATCTGAGCAGTTTGAGTTTTCAGAAAAGTCCTCCTAAAAATGCTAATATGCACATATAAGGAGGGGGGTGGGTGGGGGGGTTCTGGAGCATGTGGCAGTTCATCATCGTGCTCACAGTAATTGGTGACTTTCTTTATATATTAAACACCAAAGGAAAGAGAACGCGCAGTAATGACCCTCACGCAGAAATCAGGGCTGAGTTTATGCTCATTTCCGCTCTCGTAATTAGGAGCCCTCTGTGTACTACATCGCTACATCTGGCTCCACTTGTTCAAAAGCACTGCAGGGTCAGAACAGAACCTTCCGGAAAAACCCTTCAGCCTGAACATGCTCGTGCGCTGCTTCAGCTAATTAACATGGTCTCTACAAACTTTTATCAACTGTTTTCTAATCAAGCTTTAGGGGTGACGATTTGAGGTGAGGACGGGTCGCTGCTATCAATTATATTAGCAATGTTTTTTGTTTTTGTTTTTTTTTAAGTTGAATTAAGTAATGATGAATGCCCTGATCATTACCCACTACAATTAACTTCTTAAACTCTACTTATAATTTGATTATTAATTTTAAGGCTTATTATTCAGTTAATACTGAATTATTTTGCGATAAATCTGGAATGTTCTGTGGTGATGAGAGTGAGGAACTGAAGAGAAACCTCAGAGTTTAAGGGCTTAATTTCATCAAAGTGTTGTGAAGCAAAATTAGCATTAGCATAACGAGATGACCTACTGAACCCAAAGTTAAAGGGGATATAATGAGGAATTTGTCTTTGTGATGTCACAAAAACTAACATATTTACATATCTCCACCTATTCCAACCTACTGCAGTTTAGCCCCACCCATTCAGCCTACAGCAGTTTAGCATCAACCATTCACCCTAGAGCAGTTTAGCCCCACCCATTCAGTCTACAGCAGTTTAGCATCAACCATTCACCCTACAGCAGTTTAGCTCCACCCATTCAGCCTACAGCAGTTCAGCTCCGCCCATTCAACCTAACAGTTTAGCCCTGCCCATTCAGCCTACCTATCAATTTAGCCCTGCCCATTCAGTCTACAGCACTTTAGCCCCACCCATTCAGCCTACAGCAGTTTAGCCCCGCCCATCCAACCTACGGCAGTTTAGCCCCACCCATTTAGCCTACCTAACAGTTTAGCCCCATCCATTGAGCCTACTTATCAATTTAGCCCTGCCCATTCAGCCTACAGCAGTTTAGCCCCACCCATTCAGCCTACAGCAGTTTAGCCCCGCCCATCCAACCTACGGCAGTTTAGCCCCACCCATTTAGCCTACCTAACAGTTTAGCCCCATCCATTGAGCCTACTTATCAATTTAGCCCTGCCCATTCAGCCTACAGCAGTTTAGCCCCACCCATTCAGTCTACAGCAGTTCACCTCCACCCATTTAGCCTACAGCAGTTTAGCCCCACCCATTCAGCCTACAGCAGTTCAGCTCCACCCATTTAGCCTACAGCAGTTTAGCCCCACCCATTCAGCCTACAGCAGTTTAGCCCCACCCATTCAGCCTACAGCAGTTTAGCCCCTGTCTGTTGAACATTTTAGCAGAATGGGCCAAGGTGTGAAATACAGGGGGTCCGCTAATTAATCTCTTGGACGCCCTGAATGTCTCAAAATAAAAATTCTGGTGGGTCTTTGAAAATAAAATGATCATGCTGTCCATTCTGGAAAAATACAGATGCTCAAATCCAGATTCAGTGAAGCTCATTGTTTATCTGATTCACCCACAATCAGCTTCTGTCTTTGGTGTTCTTAACTAACTGGAGCTGTAGCACTGCTCTGCCTCAGGGTGGCGCTGTAGCAGACTGGTTCACCCAGTTGGTCCTTCATAGCCTAGAAACTGTAACTCGGGATTCCTCTGAAAAACTTTACAATGTGCTGCAGCAGATCTGTAAATCTGAAAACTCGCCCAGTTTCCTAAGAGTTTGGAGTGAAGAGTGACTGTTCCTCATTTCTCACACTGAAGACAGAAGAGGAGACGAGGAAGATCTCAGTTAATGTGAGGAAGAGCGCAGAACCACACTAGAACAGAGACTTTACAGAAGAACAGCTGATAAAACAAACACTGACATTAAAGCGTCAGCGCCGCAATGGAAAATGAGTGACCAGCCAACATGGGGCCCCCTGAATACCATATATATTCCAGCATCAGCACCTGAAAAATGATTTCTTCATCTATGTTTTCTTCCTGCATTCTCAGAGTTAAATCAGACTTGTCTGCAGTCTGTCTCTTTTACTGCCCTGTCCATTAACATCACTGATCTAACAAATCTTCAGTGCTCATGTTCACAGCGCTGTCCTCCACAGGCTGCTCTGTTCTACAGCGTGGCTGCCAACGGACAAACAGTGTACAGGAGGGTCTGCAGAGTCCTCGCTGATGAACACCTACTAAAGGCATGGCACAGAAACTGCACCTGCTGTTTGTCTCATTCTCTCTGTGTGTAACTCAGACAGCGGTTCACATTTCTGCTTTAATACTGTGACATGGAAAGTGGAGAAACTCTGCTGTAACCTCTCATTTACCCCGACACTCAATAAATACACAAATAAACAAACAGAAGAGCCACTTTGTTCATCATCAAGCAGAGATACGCCTCACAAGATGATCTGTCTTATTATTACTCATATTCCTTTGTGCCAAACTGTCAAACTGTGAAACGCACTCAGCACTAAAACAAACTGATGCAGACTACAGTTATCAGTCAATATAATCTCTAAAGCTGTGGCATAAAGTAGTGTATTGATCGCTGAAGGACTTATGCACCAATATTTCTCCATAACTCAGTGTGTGAGATGTAATCAGAGTGAATCAGAGTGGTTTGGTGTGAAATGGTTCAGATGTCTTTACAGTGGTGGTGATACGAACCAGGGGTCACCATGACTACAACACAAATATAGACATTTTATTTACTATCAAAACCACCAGTGAACCTACACGTGTCTTCTGAGTTTATATGGAATGTTGATGATGGAAAATGGTGGAAAATCTGAAATAAGTTTTCTTTGATGACTATTTTGCCTCACAGCGCCCTGTTTATCTTTCATTTTTCCACTATTGTGGGTTCACTGGTGGTTTTGGATAGTAAATAAAATGTCTATATTTGTGTTGTAGTCATGGCGACCCCTGGTTCCTATCACCACCACTGCAAAGACATCTGAGCCATTTCACACCAAACCACTCTGAATCACTCTGTTTACACCTCAAGGACGGAACTGTGTAGGAATTTTGGTGGAATTCCCCTTTAAGAGCAGTTTAATCGAAGTAATCAAACTATAGTAACTGTATTTACTGTAATGTTATTATAGGAACTCCTGCAGCTGAAAAAAAACATAGAAACCATTATCAGTGTTTCTGTTGGTCAGAGATCCTGAGATACCACAACAGAACCTAAAACTAAAAAGTCTAATGTTCTTTAAATAGCACGTACTATTATCTAGCACTTACCTCACTCATTGTGTGGAGTACTCTAAACACAGAGATATCAGTCAGATCAGCCGGATTCCCCACACTGTGTGTCCAGCAGCGAGCCAGCTTTATACAGTATTAAAGCCCTCTCCTCCAGCGCATCATCCTCTCTCTAAACCAATAGGAGAGCGGCTCGCTCCAGACCCCGCCCCCTCATTAATATGCTGCCTGAAAGTGATCGGAGTGTGTCAGTGTGAGAGCTGAATAACACTGACCTGAACACACAGCGACACTCTGCAGCCCCCTTTGCTCTCAGATCCTCTGTTCATCGCGAGCTGATCAGCGCGAGAGGGCGGGAATATTGATAATAGGCTGCAGCTGGGATTCCTTTTGAATTCATATTGTGCGCTGCATTCCTCTGCCAGTAGAGGGCGCCTGTGAGAGCAACCGCATTTATCATTACACTCAAACAAACTACTTTAATTTATGACTGTTTATAGTGTATAATTAATTTCTAGTTGGTAGATAGATATATATGTACAAAGGATATATATGTATTCACACACACACACACACACACACACACACACACACACACACACACATATATATATATATATATATATATATATATATATATATATATATATATATATATATATATATATATATATATATATATGTATAAATGTATATCACTACCCACTTTACCTTCATACTAAACCCGTCTCATCCCTAACCTAAAAAAAATAATAAGGTAAATAAATAAATATTTTTGTTTTTAAATCACTTTGTGCGCTTTCCAACTCAAACGAGCATGTGTGTGTATAAAACAGCTATCTGGCTGACTGACTGCAGAACCAGCTGGTCACTCAAGTTCTTGCCAAATTCAGCTGGAAGAGGAGCAAAAACATCTTCTCTACTGAGAAAAGCCTTCAAAGCAGAGAGCTGCTGTTCTTCTGTTTTCCTTTTATTTGCCCTCCAGTTCTGCAGTAATCAATAATAGAGCATCATCAACGGCAGCTTCGACCATCAGAACAGGCTGACTGGTCCAGCTGAGCGACGGCTGTAGAAACACTGGACCTCGGACTGCACTGCTTATTCTTTGAGTCAAAGACGCGCATTCAAGTCTGCAGAACATTGAACATTTTTCAGTGACAGTTTTAGGAGCTGCTGTGCGAGTTTTCACTTCAACCTGAGGTTCTGTTCTCATAGCTGTGAGCAGATAGATGTGCAGTAAAGCAGCACTGTGTGATATTTGCTGAAAGAAGTTTTGAGCTCCGCCCATTCAACCTACAGCAATTTAGCTCCGCCTACTCGGCCTACAGCAGTTTAGCCCCTCCCATTCAGGCTACAGTAGTTTAGCTCCACCCATTCAGCCTACAGCAGTTTAGCCCCTCTCATTCAGGCCACAGTAGTTTAGCTCCACCCATTCAGCCTACAGCAGTTTAGCTCCACCTATTCAGCCTACAGCAGTTTAGCCCCACCCATTAAGCCTGCTTTTATGTGTTCCTAAGCCTGGATTGTATTAGTTAGTGCAATAATCATGTGATCACTGCGGACAAACAGGTAAATGATTGCCCATCAGCGCTTTTGTTATCTGATCTCTGTAGAAAATATTTCCACTATAAAAATTCATTATAAATATCCAGCTGCAGTTCCACTATCAGGATGTCTGCACATGTTTAGGACTCAGCAGTGTGTATATTCAGCTTTAACGGCGAACTTTAACTTCACAGCAGCTGTGAGTGCTGATAAAACGTGCTGGTCTGATCCACAGCAGCGCTGAACCTGCTGCCAGTACATTCTGCATAGCTTCATTATAATTCTGCTCTAATAATGTCCCAAACACTATTTAGTCCTGCTTAACACTCATTTCTGTCCCTCACTCCCTCAGAGGTGAATTCCACCAATTTTTCAAAATGTTGCTGATTGTAAAATAGCGGAAAATCTGAAATAATACATTTTCTTTTTTGTTATTATCAAATATTTGTTTATGTTTGATGACTGAAAAGTTCTTCACTCTCACACGTCTCATTTACAGCAATGATTCTTTATAGAACCAAACACTGAAAGGTTCTTCAGGTTATTTCCACTTTGATTGCTGATTTGCATAATTGAACTGTGGAATTGTGGACCCCCGAACGTCTTCATTGGACCCTTTAAATCACTAATTATGCAATTGTACACTCATTGTTCATGGCTATTATTCCTCATTTTAAGACTTATTGTAAGACTACTTAATTTATTTCTAGACAGTATTTGTTCATTTAGGAAATTCTTAAGTGAATTTTAATAAGTTAATTTATTTCACTGTACTCACAGTTAATTGTTCTTGTTTTAAGAAATATGATTGAAACCAGTAAAAGTATCTGCTAATATAGTGAGATCATTTTATTTAATAAAACCATAATTAAGTAAAAACACCCAGAAATAAGACAAATAATTTAAAAATATTCTACAATCACCTGAAAATGAAAAAATATGATATATATGGACTTAATTTATCATGATTCCACTTATTAAGATGAACTTTTGCAATGAATATTGATGGAATATCAGGAAGGGAATGTATTTGATTTTTCTCCTTGAGCTCAGATTTTGTCCTGAGGCCTCACTCAGGCCAGAAGACATCTGATTGACTGGAAGCACTTGTCAAAAAACAAGAAAAATTCACCTCTACAATAATGATAATTTCTGTTAGCGCCCTTATGGGATTCTAATAGTATGTTCAGGCCAGAAAACGTCTGTTCGACTGGAAGCACAGTGAGTCTGTAAGGAAACGCTTTGAGCCGAGCTCGATCTCATACAGTGTCCAGAGCCGGACATTCCTTCTTAGTTAACCAACCGTCAAGACCTGCAGCTACAGCACAAACACAACCATCAGAAAACATGTTTCCTGACCAGTCTACCTCTAAATAACGCTATTCAGGCTTAATTACTCCGGTCTTAATCGTGCGTGTTGAGGATTCTTATCTCCGATTGCCTTAAATGGGCAGACACTCAATACAGTGTTAGCTTTAGAGGCGCTTGAAGCTGCTCCCACTCTGGAGTGTTGGGTTTCAACTGCAAACGAGATGCGCTAAGTTATTCAGCAGGGTCACCACCAGAAGTGCAGCTGTTACGCTCTGCCAGAATAAATGCTAAATAAAGGCTCAGTCAACAAAGTGAATTCTGTTATGTATAAATCATCGTGTCCACGTCTTAATCAGGATGAATTCATATTAAGGCAGATAATAACTCAGTTTCAGGCTTCCCATGTTAAAAATGTGTTATTACAGTTAGAAAACTGTGTAATTTTTGAGCACTTCACATGTGAAATATACAGGGTGATTCAAAAAGATTCATCCAATTTCAAAGTGCCATAACTTTACAGCCGTGAGGCACCTAGGAACCAATCACAATCCAATTGAAAGAGGGGGTCATAGAGTTTCTGACTGTCAGTGGAAGATGGTTCCCTTCAGTTTGTGAGGAGATGAGACCCCTGAGCAGAGAGTGTTCTGCGTTCTCCACTTCAATAAGAGTGAATCCTCATAACTGTGCAGCGTGATTTTCGTGGGCAGTGAACCTCCAACAGCTCAGAGCGTTCATCGTTGGTTCCACAACACTGGATGATCTCCAAAATCACACTGAAAGAGCCGTGAGTGCAGCGACACCTGACATGCTCAATCGAGTATAGGATGAATTTGACTATGGCGTTGATGTTGTCCGTACAGCTGCAGGAGGTTCATATTGAGCACTTGTACAATTACATAATAAACTTTATGCTCATTTAAACCATCTACACTTTTCTGCATTATTCTGTAATGATTTACAAGTAAATAAATCATTTTGAAATTGGATGAATCTGTAAGGGCTTTGCATCACATGCATACCAGCAGCACAGCTTAACGACTGTTTGTCTCAAACATGCTGTCATTAAAACATTATTTGCCTGAACTTAACCTGAATTTTTCCTTGATTTACACACAATTAGATGGCTGAGGAACAAGATGACACAGAGATGATGAGTAAAACAAGGAGAAAGACACACCCAGTATGCAAATACATGTAGCTAGGAGCCAATAAAATGTATCTCCTGTTGCTAATGGCAACAGACTAAACCAACTTTCAATGCATCGATTCAACTCAAAAATTCCATTTAAAATTATTAGATCATCAAACTCAAACAGCCAAGTAATATGGGATGTTTTCTGCTTTCAGAACAGCACTAATTTATGCAGGTTTGTGTCTTGTGACTTTCTTCTAAAGAAGTCCTTCTAAATCACTTTAAAATACAACTCATTCTCTTTTATTTGACTTGACATTTAAGTACATTTTAAAAATGGGTCAATTTAGTTAATATAACCTTTAGTGTGTTTAGCCAATTCTAAACTGAATTTGTTCATGTATTCTATTTTTATTTTAAATGAATAGATCCCACTTCTGGGCCAACTGAGAAAATTACAGGTATTTATTTGTTCAAAAAACTAACATTACAATAATTATGAATAAACAAAAAACTGTGATTTGATATGTGTGTTTTTTAACCATCTGCAAAGCTCTCCTCAGGGAAGTCCAGCATTTACAGTTACCTATGGAGAACCACGACTGTAGACCTGGACCTTCAGTTCAGACCAAAATGTCAAAAAACAAGAAAAACTCACCCCAACAATAATGATCATTTCTGATGCCTCAAATACTTTCTAATAATTTCTGATACTATGTTAGTGCTAAGCTAATGGCAGTTGACATTAATATCTTTTTGGCAATCAAAAAGATTTGTCTGAAGCCTGTAACAGGCATTATTATATATCTGAGCTTGTATGTATCAGTGTTACAGTGACTCTTTCAGTAAAGAGTTCTGACATAAAGCTGCTGACACTGTTTTACATTCCTAACAACTAACCAGAATCTGCTTAGACTACAGCCTATATTCACAGTCAATGATGTACAACCCCAATTCCAAAAAGACCAGGCCGACAGTCAATATTGGATGCTCATGATCTTCTGGCCCTCAGGCGGCACTGCATTAAAACAGGCATGATTCTATACTGGAAATCACCGCATGGACTCAGGAACACTTCCAGAAATCATTGTCTGTGAACACAGGTCGTCATGCAATCCACAAATGCAAGTTAAAGCTATATCATGCAAAGAAGAAACCATCTATTTTCAGGATCCAGAAATGCTGCCACCTTCTCTGGGCCCAAGCTCATTTAAGATGGACTGAGACAAAGTAGAAAAGTGTCCTGTGGTCCATTGAATCAAAATTTGAAATTCTTTTTGGAAATAATGGACTCTGCATCCTCCAGACTAAAGACCTCCCAGCTTGTTATTAGCACACAGTTCAAAAGCCAGCTTTCCTGATGGTATGGAGGAGCATAAGTGCACATGGCATGGGTGTTTTGCACATCTGTGAAGGCACCATTAATGCTGAATGAAATATACAGGTTTTGGCAACATGTTCCCATCCAGAAAACGTCTCTTTCAGCATATTTCAGCAAGACAATTCTAAACCACATACTGCATCCATCACAACAGCATGGCTTCACAGAAGAAGAGTCCAGGTGTTGAACTGACCTGCCTGCAGTCCAGACCTTTCACCAACAGAAAACATTTGGCGCATCATGAAATGAAAATCTGGCAAAGAAGATCCAGAACTATTGAGCAGCTAGAATCCTACATAAGGCAAGAATGGGACAACATTTCTCTCCCAAAATTTCAGCAATTTGTCTCCTCACTTCCCAGATGTTTACAGAAGAGGGGATTCTACACAATGGAAGACATGGCCTTGTCCCAAATCTTTTGAGATGCGTTGCTGCCATCAAGTTCTAAATGAGTTAATATCTTTCATGAAATAGTAAAATGTCTCACTTTCAACATCTGATATGTGTTCTATGTTCTATTGTGAATAAAATATCGGTCTATGAGATTTGTACATCATTGCATTCTGTTTTTATTTACAGTTATTTACATTTTACACAGCGTCCCAACTTTTTTGGAATTGGGGTTGTAGACATTCCGGAAGACATTTTGTCTCACAAAATTGGTACCAAAGTGGGATTTATTGGTTTGATTTCTAATTATGTTGGTAGCTAATCTAACATGTAAGGCCTTCAGTCCAGCTCCTGAAGTCCTAACCAATGGGAGAGCAGCTCAGCCTGATCTACCTAGAAACAACAGAGAGAACAATCATGATTGGATGATTTTCTGTCAAGATTTCAACCCTTTTGCTACCAACCAAAACTTAACAATGAAGTAAGCATATTACTAGAATACTAAGCAGAGTTTAAACACAATGAGCATGATGATCGTTTTTAATAAACAACAACTAAAAATTACAGACATTTTTTCGTCTCTCAGAAATCGTTAGACTGTCTCTAAACAGGAAGAAAGGCTGAGGGCTGCTCAGTAGTAACACCCGGTTTATTAAGTTAATTCTTCATTAAAATAAATTTAGGTGCTGCTGATGGAATTGAACAAATCCATGTGAAGCTGGAGAACAGCAAGGAGACAGGAACCAAAAATATGTTCTTCTGTGTACATATTCATATTCATACTTCACTGAAAACAACACATTCTGACTACTGACTACTGTATTTATGTTTTACTTTTTCTAATGTTATATAGCGTTTTACTATATGTTTATTTGTGTTTATTCTAATGTTGTACAGATTATTTACATGTATTTAGTGTTTTGCTGCCATGTTAACAGCTCTTAAATTCCTAAGCCTTTTGCACTGCACTGTATTTACTGTATAATACAGAATGCAGAAAAATATGCAGAGACCACAGAATGTCTGTCAGTGTTTTTGTGTTCACTACACTTTGTTTGTTTTAACTGCTGGTTCTTTTCTTTCTTCTGCAGACGCCGACTCTCCTATAAGAACAGCATAACTAGCCACCAGAGATGGCCAGAATAGAACCCCAGAGAACTATCAGCGCTTTCCTCTTACGCAATTAAAACAAACAAAAAAGCAAACTAATTGCAAACAAGGATATATATCCCATAAAGAGATCATGCTTTTGGAAAATAATGCACTGTTATTCTCATCAGAGAGCACAGACAGTTTACTCAGTTCCCATGTACTTCAGTAAATTCCTGATAGATTTATACTGTTCAGATAATAATGCTTTAGTACATCAGTGAGTAAAATAATCTACTTTTTCCTCAGTTCAATTTTAGTCAATTACATTTAATTGCTAATTCTTTTTTTAAATGAGTGACTTACAGTGTTCGACTCTACTGTTAATCAGATTTACATTCCTCCTATTATTATATTTCTGTGGTACATTTGTTTGCTATGTGTCCAGCAGTTTTAAAGATAACTAACCTGAATCAAGTCCATAATGTATGTATGCAGCTTTTTGATTGGATGTGTGGTTTCTGAAAAGCAACTTTTCAAATTCAGATTATTCCCATGAAGAATGAATGGCAGAATGTTAAAAAAATGACTGTGCAAAAGTTTGTACACTCATATCATCATGACACAAGTACACCCAAACAACTACCAGGGATATCACATAAATTACTTAGCAACCCCCTGGAATAATGTATACATCACTAAGCAACATCTTAGCAACTACCTGGAATATTATATAACTCACTTAGCAAGACCCTAGCAACCACATGGCAACACCCTAGCAACTACTTGGAATATTATATAAATCACTTAGCAGCAACTAGCAACCACATGGCAACATCCTAGCAACTACTTGGAATATCATAGAAATCACTTAGCAACACCATAGCAACAATCTAGACACACTATAGTAACCCCCTAGGATATAACAGTAATTATTTAGTTGTGTTGTTTAAATCTGCTGTTTTAAGTGCTTTTACTTTCACTGCAGTCATTATTTCACTGCAGTAGAAATGCTTTCACTGCAGTGCGGATTCAGAGCACTCTGGTAGCAGCACTGAAGGAATGTGGGCCGTCACTGGGATCAGTACATCACTTGTGAATGGCAACTCAAAACCTGCATAGCAGAAGCTAGCGTCAAAGGAAAGCTAACACTGGGCTGGAGCAGCCAGCCTAAACAGCCGGGTCATGTAATAGCCCTCTTATCACGGCTGCTTTGTGTGACCCGCCGGAGGTGCACCTAACTTATTCATCAGCTGCCGGATTGATGGAAGATGAAGTGGAAAAGAGATCATTAAAGAGGCAAAGAGCACAGAACAATCACAGAAAAGCCCAGATCTGTTTTTCACCAACACTTTAAACGGTTAAGATGTAAACAAATTCATTCAGAGTCAGACCTGTTCACAGTGGTGGTGATAGGAACCAGACGTCCACCTCTAAAAGCTCCCTCACAGAAAGTTACTACATGAAATGGTTATGAATTCACTGTCTGATGACTGAGACACTTTTTATGATAGTTTTGAGAAAATTTTGGCCTTAAACTCCATTCATGGTGGAAGGATACATAATATGCAGGGCGCTGTGAGGCAAAATAGTCCCCAAAGAAAACTTATTATTTCAGATTTTCCACTATTCACATGTCCATCACCACTATTTTCCATCATCAACATTTCATATAAACTCAGAAGACTCGTGTAGGTTCACTGGTGGTTTTGGATTATAAATAAAATGTCTATATTTGTGTTGTAGTCATGGCGACCCCTGGTTCCTATCACCACCACTGTAAAGACATCTAAACCATTTCACACCAAACCACTCTGAATCACTCAGTTTACATCACACAGACTGATTTTTTGTTCACTCAATTAATATTAAAAAAGATGAAGAATACCAAAGGGACAGAAGATGGTTGGAGGGGGGCCCTTGGGGGCGCCCTGGCTCTCCCTTTCTTCTGCACAGCAAAGCAATATTACCTACTTATTATTGATGCAATACACTATTGTATTTTTGTACAAAGATGTTGAAAGTGGTGTCAGGGAGTAACCGAATGGTGTGACGTTGAAATATGTTCAGTAAAACTGATAATAATGTGACACTTTCCAGCAGAACTGCTCTACAAAGAACAGCCCAAATCAGACAAATCAGACTGAACCATCTGCCTCAGGCTTCATGATTTGTGGTCTTATGTATGTGTGTAATGATGTACATCTCAAAGAAGGTGTGTTTGTTGTTGCTGTTAATACTATAAATATCACAATTGTACTTGAATCAATTAGAGTCAAAGACGTTTAATAATAATCATAAAACAACCTCAGTTAAACCTTCGTTCCCACACAGTGGAGTCAGTGCATTAAGATCTGTGGCACACAGTTTGTGAGTGATGTGCTGTTTAAAGACAGTGGTGCTCTGTAATTACAACTGTAATAGAAATTAACAAGGACAATACAATTAAAATCCATATTTCAGTACATAAACAAAACTAACACCCAGCTTTGAAGACAGAAGATCTGAGGACCTGCAGAACAAACCAGCGTCCATCTTCACAGGAACTGATCTGTAACCTTTTAATCCAGATCTTTATGCTCTTTGAACACATCATCACTGTTTAACAACATTACACTCTTCAAAGAAGATGGTTCTTCAAGGGTTCTTTAGTAGGGGGAATGGTTATATTTAGAACTATGAGTTCTATACAGAACCATTTCACACTTAAAGTGTTCTTTGCATGGTAAGACGTTCCTTCAGATTGATTAAGAATGTGTTGCATATGGTTCTATATAGCACCAAAAAGGTTCTTGGTTCTTTTTAGAACCATAAGCTCTATACAGAACCATTCCATGCTTAAGTGGTTCTTTGCATGGTGAAAAGATTTTTCAGATTGACGGAGAATGTGTTGTACATGGTGCTATATAGCACCAAAAAAGGTTCTTTAGTAAACTGAATGGTGAATTTTTTTAGCAAAGTTCTTTTTAGATCTATAAATTCTTTTCAGAACCATTCCATGCTCAAATGGTTCTTTGCATGGTGAAAAGGTTCTTCAGATTGATGGAGAATGTGTTGTATATGATTCAATATAGTACCAAATTAGAAAATAGTTCTGTGTAGCACCAAAAAGGGTTCTGTTATTGCTCCGATGCCAAGCTTGTAACAATAGAAGAACCCTTTTGGTGCTATACAGAACCATATACATATACAACACATTCTCCATCAGTCTGAACAATTTAACCATGAAAAGAACCATTTAGAGATGAAATGGCTCTATACAGAACCCATTGTTCTATAGAGAAGCATTGTAATTTCTAAAGAACCCTTGAAGAACCATCTTTTGTGTGGATAGAGTGAATAGAAGTCCATTCCAGTCAGATAAAGGAGAAAATAAATCACATTTTTGTTACTGTCAGCAGAAAGAAAATCATTAAAATAATGTCTTTAATCCTGAAATAAGCAATTATTAGTCATTAAAATGTAATAAATAAATGTTTGGATACAGAATGTCAGAATTTCATCTTAATCATTCAAATTTGTGAGGAAATTAGTCATTATTTTGAGATCTTAAGTCAAGACTTTGAGACCATAAGTAATGATGTTGACCTAATAATTGCACTGCTGTCAGAAACAGGGAAAAAAAAATAAACAAATAAAAACAGGTGATGTTTTCTGTTCTAACTGGTAGGAAACAGGCCTCATCTCTCCAAACTGGAACCTTTAAAACATTCTTCACTTTAATGTACATTAAAGTAGAGAGTGGTCATTTCAGTGCATTTCTGATAGGTTCACGCGATGAAAACAGCAGCTGGAGTTTCCAAGCTGCTTTAAAATAGAGTTATAAGGTCCCCAGAGTGACGATATGAAGGAAACTGGTTCTAGATCTGAGTAAAAGTTCCTTCTGGAGTGATTCAGAACCCAAAAGACTTTGTTTGTGGTCAGTAGGTCAGATTTGTTCCGGCCTGTGGGGGTCAGACGGTGGTGGTCTGACGAATTTTCTTCACTCCGTCTCTTCTCTGGACATTGACGTAGTCAGTCACACTCTCCTGTCTGGGCTCTCGTGACATGATGTAGATGATATCAGGAACCTGAAAATACAACAGACGGTTACTGTAAAACTCCTCATACAGATCTGACGTCTACGTCTAATGCTCTCAGTCTCCACGGAAACACTGACCAAACTAGAAAAGTGCATTTCCTGAAGAAAACACAGTGACTGTGCAGCTTAAGCTTAATGTTGTTAGGAGTTGCTATGGTGTCCCAGGTGCTTGCTACACTGGTACCTTCTTCAAGGATTCAAAATGGTTCTATATTGATCTATGAATACTCAAAGAACCATTTGCATGATTAAAAGGTTCTTTGCATCAGGAAAGTATTCTTTAGATTAATGTGTTGTAAATCATTTAATATAGAACCTTTTTAAAAATGGTTCTTTATAGCATCAAAAAGGGTTCTGCTATTGTGATGATGTCAAACTTGTAACAACAGTAGAACCCTTTTAGGTGCTATAGAGAATCATATACAACATATTCTCACACATATCAATCTGAAGAACGCTTTCACCATGCAAAGAACCTTCTAACCATTGCAAGTGGTTCTTTAAGTCTTCATGGTTCTATATTGAACTATTGAACAGGAGGTTCCTGTGGTGTTCAGGGTGTTTACTAAGTGATTTTTAGGGTGTGGCCAAGTGGTTGTTAGGTGTTGTTAAAAATGAATGGGAGAAACAAGGGATGAGAAACGACACATAGAGGAGTGCAGGTCAGTATGACTGTGTATGCGAGTTTGATGACCCACCCTGAGAGAGGACATGGGGTTTGGTGGCTGTCAGGCAAAGAAATAATACAGTTTGTGTGGGGGCAAAAATGAATGGGAGTCTATGGGAGAAATGAGGGACAAAAAAATGACAAACAGATGAGTGCAGCTCAGAACAACACTGAATTCGTGTTCAAGGGCAGCTCTGAGACAGTATATGTGAAATGGTATCTTTCAGTCAAGCAGAAATACAGTAGATGGTCGTGCAACTTTCGCACCCCATTCATTCCTATAGGAAAAAATTAATAAATTAACAAAGATTGTACGAAAAACGTATGCCGGATCAAAAAGCTGTACACAAGCACACCATTCCTGATCAGACCGAACATTCCAGAGTTGGAACGGTGTTGATATCTCGAAAACTGCTGGATGAGTTAGAGGACAAAAAAATTCTCCCAAAAAAAATAGCATATTGTCTAAAAACAATAGTGTTGGGCTTTAAAACGCTATTGTTATCCGATATGACTAATAAACACAGATTAGAATTAAAGTCACTGATTTCTCACAATCTTACAATTATGTCCTGTGTTTTCAGCTGTGTGTGCTGTTTCCTATTAAGCATTCTGGCTGCAAAGCCAACTTATAAAAACATTAAAATATTGCTTTCTTTGAAAACTGTACCCTGGAGACACATAAACTGCTGATGAATGGTCCAGATGTAGATGTGCAGCTGTTTATAGAGTAGTAAACAAACAGAATAATACTAGAAAGTCAATATGAAGATCAATAACTGGCTATTTCTAAGACAATCTGCTGCGCGTGGATATGAAGTGGTCATGCTGTTATTTCTGTGGAAGATCCAGTGAGGAAAATAACAATATTCCATTCTGTGCGCAGACCGGAGACGCAGGACTACAGCAGTAAAAGAGGAATACGAGGCAGTAAAGCTGCATCATCCTCAAACTGCAGCCTTTATTAAGAGAAAGAACGCATCTGTTTATAAACCACACAGCAGAGAATCCCTGAAACATCAGCATTCACATCCTTTATTTTCTCTTTTCTTCTGATGAATTGTTTTCTCAAGATAAACGCTAATAACCAGTTTTGAAACGTTGTTTTTTTAAGATAATGACATAATTCAGTTGATAAGTAGCCTCTTGTTTGCTGTGAAACTACGAATTCTGTCAAACTTGGCTTGATTTTTTATTATTTTTTAAAAGTTTAAAAAATGTGACAGAGTTTAAATTGTTTCAGGGGTCCTGGGGGTCTCCAGAGGGTCTGACTACCTGACTATAAGCTAACCTAAGTGTTATTGTCATTAATTTTATTCATCCAGGACAGGAGCTCTCTGAGATTAAAGATCTCTTTTTTCAGCAGAGTCCTGGCCAAGAAAGGCAGCAACACACAACACAATGTTCCCACAAAACAGAATACAAATCACTTAAAATTAAATCACTTGAAACACTGACAAGTAGTTTTACCCACTTCCACTGTCTGATAAATGTTTTTAAAGCTAGCATAACTTAAAGCTTGTTTTCCTAATTCAGTGGGTACAGGTATATATGTATATATATATATATATATATATATATATATATATATTATTCTGTCTCACTATTTGATTTAAACTGTGTGAAGTTGATCATGTTGAGGTATTTGTACTAAAAGGTTTTTAGTCTGATCTCTTCCAGTGAAGCTCGCGTTCAGACGACTCTCAGGTGGCTCTGATCTGACGATCAGAGACTTTTACAAAAACTTGCACACTGTCATTAAAGCAGAAGAGGGACACACCACCAAATACTGAGAAAATCTAAAATTCATATTAAAATTACAAAGATTGTTTGCTGATAGTATCATTTGTAAATAAAGATAAGTCATTGTTTTGAAATTAGGATGGAGTTTACAGCTGATTCAGCGTGGAGGGGGGATGGAAACGTTTATGTTGTGATAATGTCACAAAGAACTCGAGAAAACAAGAAAAAAATGAACTCATTATCACAGGAATAATAGAATAACAATCATCACTCATTTTCCACTCACAGTCCAATTTACTTACTTTTTCTTTCTTCCTTTTTTTAGTTGTACTTTGTTAAGTAGTTTGGTATATTTTTTAATAATTTTTAAATAATTTTAATCCAGCACAGTGACAGCAACAGTGGCAAACAGTCAGCAGGGTACTGAAATCATCAAGCCAGGGGAACAATATATGCTTGCTTTCTTGGATGCAGCACTTTATTCATCATAAGCAGTGCCATTTTTACCAACAGGTACATAAGTATTTGAATTTGCACTTTGGGAGGTGACCTTTCCCTCCCACAGTGACGTGTCTCTTGTACTGGTCAGTCTCAGAGACGCGGAGGAGCGGCCTGAATAATGCACAGGCCTTTTCTTACCTTCTGAGTGGCTGCAGTTGTCTCAGTGTCAGCCTGCGGTGGATTACTGAAGCCTGTAGAGTGAAAAACCAGGTGGATCTCAATCAATCAATCAACCTTTATGTTGACTCGGAAGGGCATTGACGGTGACCCTCATTTACAATGTAGCCAAGCAAGTTAAACAGGTTAAAATGAGTTACAATAACATTTGTCAACTAAAACAAATAAAAATCAACAAGACAAGAAAAAGTATAAAGAAATTAAAAATAATTGATGGAGGATTATTAAGGTCAGGTACTGATGTTAGATGGTCAGATCTGGATCACTCCAACTCATCCCAAAGGTACTGGACGGAGCTCCATCACTCTAGAGAACACAGTTCCACTGCTCCACAGCCTAATACTGGGGGGCTTTATACCCTCTAGCACATGCTTGGCATTGGGCATGGAAACCTTAGCATGCTCCAGAGCATCCTGTTCTATTGGTCAGTGCTTTTCTATGGAGATTATACAGGCTGTGTCAGCAATTAGTGACCTTCAAATAGCTGAATGCTCTCATAGGATTTATGATGGCATTGAATTATGGTGCATCTTCATTTGCAGTCATCCATAAAACAGCAGTAATCCTGGCTGCAGGTTGTGTATATCAGAATATGATCCTCATATATTGTATGATGCTCTGGATTGTGTTTATTTGCCATTATGTTTGCATCTTTGATTTCATGCCTATTAATATAAACCAGCAAATATGACAAACGTGACAAAACTCTTATTGTCCATTACACACCTGAACATACAGATCTAAGAAAATGCTTGAATTGGTATCAACATTTATATTAAGTGGAAGTTCTTTAAGCACTAAAAAGGTTCTACGAGTTCTCATTTACAAATGTGGCTCTTTAAGGAACCACCCACTGAAAGGTATTTTCATCACAATTAGTTTTTGGTTCTTCTATAATTTTGCTCCAAAGAATCCTTATTTCTAGACCATATTCATTTTCATGAATTCCCATGAACAAATGATTAGGAATAGCAATACTTCAGATGACTCACCTGTAGGACCTTCAGGGTGGTACCCGAAGTTAACTTTCCCTTCTCTTTCTTCATAGTTGTTCTCAGTATTCTGCTGACCAAAGCTATAATAATAATAATAATAATAATAATAATAAATCATCATCATCATCATCATCATCATCATGCAAAGATTAGTCAATAATCATTTATTTTCTCATTACATTTGTCATCTATTTTTTTGCTATTCTAGCACACGGAAATGTTAAGTTGTGTGCCAGATTTAATCATTCTCATTAGAGAAACCCCTCACAAGCTACAAATTTATTTCTTTTTCATTCTTGGTATTTTTCTGGCAACCTAAAAACTCTTCGTTAACCATGGTGTCCCTCAGGGCTCTGCTCTAAGACAACTACTATTTACAATGTTTTAAGAAGAAAAAACAGTAATAAGCCACATGGAGGAAACCTGAAGCCATGTGTTTTGTATTGTCTTAAGTTGTGTTTACAGTGCCATCCTATGGCCACAAAGTGAAATTCAACACAGTAAACAACATTTCATAATTATATTTCAGTGTTAAATGTAACTGCGTCCTCATGGAAAGCTAATGATATACTACAATATGTGGATTAGTTCTTACTTTGGCATGATGCTGTAAATTTACACTAAGTGATACGTGCTCTGTCTCTGAGTAACAGTGTGAATTTCAGACTGAATGTGCTACAGATACATTAAGCCATAGATGATGAAGTCATGCTTTGTTAAAAACTAAAAACATATAGTGCCTTTCTAAGCCTTTGTAGAAATGTAGAAATTTTGCATGTAAGAAAACAAGAGAGGAAAGCATTGATCAAGCAGTCATTCTTACCTTAACTGATCCTGGAATAGTTTGGACTCTGTACAAAAACAGTTAAATATGAGGGCTTAAATATGAGGCATGACACATGGTGGGAAAGTTACTGAGGCAACTCCAAGTTTGACTCCTGTTTGATGGATTACAGTGAAGAGTGTACAGATAATATAGAGTCCTGAACAAGTCTGAGTGCAAACGCTTTCAAGATCACAAGTCTGAGTACAAATACTGTCAAATCTTAAACAGGTCCAAGTACAAATAATATTGAGTTCTAAACAAGTCTGAGTACAAATACTATCAAGCCTTAAACAAGTCTGAGTACAAATACTATCAAGCCTTAAACAAGTCTGAGTACAAATAGCATTGAGTTCTAAACAAGTCTGAGAACAAATACTATCATGTCTTAAACAGATCCAAGTGCAAATACTATCGAGACCAAGACAAGTCTAAGTATAAATACTTTGAAGTCTTAAACAAGTCTGTGTACAAATACTATTGAGTCATATTAGAACTATTAGCATTTATATTCATATTTTCAGGCCCGTTACCTACTAAGTTAAAACAATAAATCATTTTTATCAGTGTACTGTCAGCTTTTTAGTGTAATCTATAAATCTCTAAGATGACCAAGAACCAATCCATAGCCATCTAACCTAGCTATATATTAGTGTGCCTAAACAAAAGGAGAGAGAAAGACAGAGACATGAACCTGCCATCCCGGCCAGCAGGCGCATGAAGAATTTCTCCTTCACACCGTAAACTTTAGTGTTGCTGAAATGCTTTCAGTGAAAAGCAGAAGGTCCTGCAAGGCTAGCACTTTTAAACAGCCCTGTTCTGCTGACCACTCAGGCTTTACTGAAGTGTGCTCTCGCTGATGTATGAGTGAGTGGCACTGATGAAATGAGGCACGATGAGGCATCACTTGTAAACTCACTCACTACTTTAAGAGGTGCTGGAGGATTCTGGGAGAGACGTTTTTAGAAACTAGGATATTTTCATTTTACAGGACTAATATAATTATGCAGAAGTGTAGCTGTGTGTGTATTACTAATACAGTACTTCTGTGCTTGGGTAGATGTTGATGTACAGTTGCGTAAAAGCATGTTTTATTTAGAAGAGAATCAACACAGAATTTAGAGCAAATTCACAGCAAACACCAAAAGTCTACACGTTTAGGGAATCTACTAATTTATCTTCCCACAAGATGCAGCACATAACAAAAAACACAGCCAATACAGAGTGATGCATTAAAACCCTCCTGTGTTGATCAGTGTGGCTTTTTATAATTTACATTTACATTTTCAGCATTTAGCAGATGCTCTTATCAAGAGTGACTTACGAAAGTGCTGTGTTCAGATCAGAGAATGTATCCTAGCTAGAACACATAGGTTAAAGCACAAAGTACCCTTCAGCTCAAGCACTGCCAGAAACAAGAGTCAGAGCTGATACCCACAAAGAAAAATACAGAATTAAACACAGCATAAGTGAAATATAATACATTTCAATAAGCAATGTATAAGCAGAGGCAGCATGCACCATGTTTAAAAGCACTTTGAATGTTTTTTTAACATGTCCTGCTGTGGAAACATCTAGAAAAGTAGCGTGTTTTGCAGAGCCTGATGATTGCTTGGGGAGGCATTGCTCACTAAATGATATAAGACAAGTACTTTTGTACCAATACTCGAATACCGAAGTATTGTACTTCATCTAAACCTACTTAAATTAGTAAAAGACACTTGTGTGTTTTTTGTTTGATTTCGATTTGAGCACTGTCACACACGCGCTTTTTCAGTCACAAGTCATATAACCAGCGTGCACCTTATGTGCTGTTGTGCTATAGACACAAGGATGGAGGAAACACAACAAAGCATGCAATTACAGTTCATGAAGCACTGTTATATTTATGTATTTATATTTTAATTGCACAATCAATTACAATTACATTTGCTTTCTGAATGGACAGGACCAAATCTACATTTCTGACCTTTCTGCTAGGGAGGATTCTCAGATTTAAATTTGGGGAAATGTTGCTTACTTGTTATTTTGTGTCTGCAGAAGAAGATCAGAGTGATGAGCGCCAGCAGAGCGATGATGCACACCGTTGCTGTAACAGCGATCACCACCACGCTGTTGCTGTCTTGAGGCACTGCAGCACAGAACAAAACATTATGATAATCCACATTCAAGTTTCTTAACTGAAGAACGTCTTGATTGCTTCGACTCATTAATGAGATTTAGATATTTAATTAACTTCCTTGAAACAGGACAAAGAAGAGTACAGTATTGTGCCAAAGTCAGAACCCCTTCATTTATTTAATCTCCAGTCAAAACAGCCATAATGCTTTACAGAATGCCGGCCATGCTAACATTTTAGCAACCACTCTAACATTAACTCAGTTATGCAGCAACTCCACATGATCTATCCTAAAGTGTAACCTTTCACGCACATACACAGTAAATATCATAAGAAATAAATAACTGACTCTAAATGTAGGTATTGTGATATAAACTGAGTCTGTTCTACAGTTTCTCATTAGGTTGAATGAATAACTGACTCTAAATGTAGGTATTGTGATATAAACTGAGTCTGTTCTACAGTTTCTGTTTAACGCTCAGGGGTCTGAGAGCATGTTCTTGATTTGTTCATATCTTCTTAAACTCTCCTTTAAAGGCTCTTCATATAACTTGATCCTCATATGTTTCATATCAACATGCTCCGTTATCTTCATCACTACTTTCCAAAACAGCTGCAGCAGCTTCAGCAGCTGTAAACTGTCTGCACGCTGTTTCACATGAGTCTCTGATGTGGACTGAATGAAGAATGAAGGGTTTCCGGCGTGATGGTCAGTCCTTAGTGATTTTCTGAGTGTCCATTTGTCAGTTTCACACAGAATGTAGACGGACACACCAATCCACCAGTTCCACACGGTGGGAGGCAGATGACGTGTATCTCAGCCCCTCTTCATAGGCTCATAACTCCAGATGTGAGTGTCGTATGATCTCGTGATAAGATGGAATGGAAAGAGCGGCTTTACAGATTCAGGAAGTATTTGAACTGGATTTCTGTGCTGGATCATCACAAAGATACAGACACAGATATAGAAACATCGACTTTGACAGGTGGGGGTGATCGTGGATAGTTTGGATGTAATGCCTGTCCAACATTAAAACTTCTGACAGCACTGTTTCTCAGCTATTGTGTGTTAATGTCTGCATGCTCATGTATAAAATTCGTTTTTCTCAATAGGACCCCATTCACTTTGAACTCTCTCATGAGCGCCCTCTAGTATCTGCTCATTGAGTGGACGCTCTCTCTAACTACAAACTCTCTCACCTGCAGAAATGAAGACAGTGCAGGTGTGCGGTGCAGGTAGAGCAGGTATAGAGACTGAACATTCCACTCTGGAGATGTTCTCCACTCTCAGCTGCAGGACACTGGTGATGTTGAAGAGTCCAGTTTGGTCCTGGACGCTGCTGCTGTTGAACTGACTGCCATCCACTGTGGCTCCATTAATGCTCCATTCTACAGCAGGGGCGGGGTACCAGCCCACAGCCTGGCACTGCAGGACCACAGGTGCTCCCACCTGAGTGGACACGTTTCCACCCGATATCAGCACTCGTCCCTCTACTGCAAAGGAAACAAGCAGATCGGACTTAGACAGGAATTCCTAACAGGCTCTGCATCTCCATAATGAGCTGCAGTCAAGTTTTACCTGTAAATAATGTGGGATTGTTTTTGTAAAATAAGAGAAAAACAGGATTAATCTACAGTGTAAAAATGGCTCATCAGTTCAATGTGAAGAAACAGTTTAACTGGTTTTATTAACTTACATACATACTTTGAAGAAAACTGCACAAAAAATTGATAATTTACATAAGTTAAAACCTCAAAAACACTTCAAATCAACTTCTTCTTACTGTAAACAGGACAAAGAAATTAATCCTGACTTTGTACAGTGCTTTTTTCATCATTCAATTTTTAAAACTAGGTTACATTAGGTTTAGGATTAGGCTTAGGATATACATAGTAATTTACATTAAAAAAACACTAGCAGATATTTACAGTGTAATGACAGCAGTGAGCCAGCATAGAGTCTGGAAGAAAAAAAATCCCCATCAAAGGACTTATTTACAAGAAAAAAACTGATTTGTCATTTGTATGATTTTACAGATAATACACGCAGATCTAACCACTATTTATCATCACTGAGTGCGTTTATATGCACTCAATAATCCAATGATAATCTGATTTCTGCATTTATCTGATTGTTCAAATGCTCATGTAAACAGCACACTCCGATTTCTTAGATCGGAGTAAGGTCCTGAAATCTGATTAAGAAATCTAATAAAGAGGCTGGATTTTAGCTCAGTAATCAGATTTCTCAGTGCTCTAAACTCTCACTCTGATTTCTTTCATATTTCTCAGTCTGAGCATGTGTGAAAACAGACGGTGGAACCAGAAATAAGCGGGCAGCATCACCGTGAGACGCAGCAAAACACTTTTGGAGCGACACTGAAACCAAACACATGCTTGACAAAATGAAGGATTTAAATATTCTTCATCTTCTAGATGATGTATGTTCATATTATCAGGTAAAGTGACACAATGTTTAAAAAAAAAGGAGCAGCATGAAGTTTAAGTTTTACATTATGTTCACGTCACATTTTCTTCTGTGAGTTTATTGGCTGATTGTAAAGCAGCAATCTGATTACTGTCTGACTCATGTAGACCCGGAGTTTCCCCATTATCTGATTACTCAAGTGCATGTAAATGCGTTGAATGGATTACTGACAAAATCTCATTTTCTGCATTTATCGGATTATTAAGTGCATGTAAACGCATTCAGTGTCACAGCTGTGTATATTTAATTAACCTCAATCCGCCTTATTTTTCATGTGACATCACTGTTTCAGACTCTTTTTAACTGGATTATGCTTTATATTCTCTTTTTAACTGGATTCTGTCTGTACTGGAGCAGACCGAGCAGTTTAGCTGAAGGCTAATAGGCTAACATAAACAATAAAAGACTTCAATCTCAAGCCTTTAAATAAGTGTTACTTGAAAACAGAGACATATAAAGTAAAGAATTTTGCTTAAATGCCTATTAAAATGTCTATATTTGAACTAGAGCTGAGATTAAAATCCCCTAGCGCTGAGCTAACCCTGCGGCTTGAAGCTAACATAGCTAGCTGCGGGCATTATCAACGCTCAAATTTAAAAACAGGTATCCACGTTAGACACTGCTGTGTATGGCGCTTTTTGGTTCTCTGTATATTTGACTCTCAGTGTAAACACAATTAAACAGTTTAAATGAAATGACTTTATTAGCGTGAATAATTTGTGTAGGCAGTAAACAGGATCCCCTGACTAAAGCGACCAGGCTCAGACCAATTATAAACAAGCATTCGAGCATCCCAACAATTAAAATTATTCATATTTTTATTTATTCCCATTTCTTTTATTTTCACATTTCTATCATGTTAGGACTTTACAAGCATTCAATATATTGACTGTTTCTGTCACACAATGCTTCGAGGCACAGGAGTAAGGCGGACAAAGAACACCCTGTTTAAAAACTGAATTAGAGGCACTTTTTAAAGAAATACTTTTACTTTTATACAATACAGAGTAACTGTACGTTTGCTTGAGTGAGAAAGTTGTGCATACAGTGTATAATATATATGTATATATGTGTGTACTGTGCGCGTGGACGTCTGTATGAGAAATTGACTCCAGCTGAGTGTGTAGGACACGAGTCTGGTGTTTTGTGGAGCTCAGAGTGGGAGAGCAGAGTGAGGAACAGGTACTGACAGCTCAGTAATTAGTCGTGCTTTGTTACTTTGTTTTGCTGACACTGCTTTGTGTGAGGAGCACTGAGTGGTTTAGGAAGGTTCCAGTTTGAGTCCTACAGAGCCATACGTCGTGTTTCCATTCGAACGTTTCACAAACAAATGTTATGCGCAGGTTTTGGCCACCCCAACCACATCCACCTCGCATCAGGGAACACAAACGCACCAGACAGTTCTGGGAGCTAATTGTGCAGAAACATTTTTCAAACCAGCTTCATTTGATCAGGCATTTCAGAAAGTCGAAAACAACCTTCGAAAAGCTCTGCGCCACCATCGGACCGAAGGAATCGCGGACTTACAGCTTGATATGTCGTCATTTATGGTTTCCCATCACTCTTTTTCACATTTTGGCTTTAGTGATATTTTTAACTTTTCCACCTCGTCATAGCAAAAAAACTCTTCGCGATATCTGGGTGTTTTCAGTTTCAGTTTCAGTTTTTTTCAGGCAAATTGATTTGAAGAACAAACTGATATGTCCATGTGTCAAAAAAGAGAAATAGTTCTTAGAGTGTATCTTCTTCACATGGCTTATGTATTTATTGTTATGCATAGATATGTGTTTTCTACTGTATATCGTTGCTGTTGGAACAAAACCTTGTATCTCCAAAATGTAAACTTTACAGGAGAAGGTTAAAACATTACTGAGTTGTAATAAAATTTAAGATAAGGACAGTTATGTCTAGTAATTCTGGATAATTATTATTAGGGCTATTGTTGGGGTTATTACTCGGGTTATTGCAAGGGTTATTGTAAGGCTTATTGTTGGGGTAGTTATTAGGGTTATTATTAGGGTTTATATTAGGGTTTTTTATTATTAAGGTTATTGTAAAGGTTATTGTTAGACTTATTATTAACGTGTTTATTGGGGTTATTATTAAGGTTATTATTCGGGTGATTAGGGTTGCTATTAGGGTTATTATTAGGGTTATGATTGGGTTAGGGCTGTAATCATTGCAGGTGAAAGTGTTTTTTAGATATCTGTAATATTTAAATATAAGACAGACAATATATGAAATATTTCTCATTATGAGATTTAATGTCTACATCAGAGCCACATGAATAGAACACATCAACACAATTGTTGCCAAAAGTGAGTAAAATGAGTGGCAGTAATTGTAACATGTAAAGAATTAATATATATTTCATCCATGTGAAACCACTGTACACATTTAAACAAACACAATGCAGCATATTTTCAGTGTATGTTAATAGAAATACACGTTCATGTGTATCTAAACAGTCATGAGCGTCAAAATGAGAAACACTGTATTAGCTGCTCACTTTAACTGTATATACACATGACTGGAAGTCTGAATGAGAAAGCTCCTCTCTGTGGTTCTGTGGTTCTCTATATCTGGCCTGTGGCTCCACAAATCACCCAGATCTGCTGACTGTTAACTGGAGCTGTACATTTTAATCTGAAGGCAGATTGGGGGGTTCAGCGTCCCCCCGCAGTGCCCACTCTAACATATAATACAGTTAATGAGTACATAGGTCAGGGGGAATTTGTAGCACATCCTGATAAAGAAGCTCTTCCTCCTCATAACACTGAACAGAACAACTCATTGTAATGTGATATGATTGCAACTTACAAGGTCTGATTTGATTGGCCGAGGTGGGCGTGGCACATTTCCCCAATGCTGAACAGCAGAGGATCACTTTCTGCTGTTATGTTAGAGAATCTGTGTCTAAATTAAGGGACGTGGGCGGGAGAATTACGCAGGAAAGGCAGAGTACAGCAGTGCTGCTTTCACTCAGCTGTGTTGAGAGCGCAGTGAAGGAGAAGAAGGAGCAGTCCAGATCTGCGCTGATGGACTGTAAATCTGCAGTGGAGTTCTGCTCTGTGTCTCTGCCTGCTGTCCAGCAGAACCCGTCCTGCATGGGTATTTACAACACTGCTCAATCAATTCCCATCCCAGCAGCCCTCCTCACTGACATTAACACCCTTATACAGTCCATCAGAAGCTCTGGAGCAGCGCTCTTCACCCAGCCAGCAGCAGATAAACTCCCTCAGTGAAAAACATCTCAATCGATGCTCATACCTAAATCACAAAACTGACTTCACTAACTAAAATAACTTCACTCTGAGTGCTAGGGTTCAAACACAAGAGACCCTCCTGCTAACACTCAGAGACTCACACACTGCTTTTCATATCATTTAATCTCATACTGAGATTACAGCCCATTAACGCCATTAATTATTGCATTAGTTTTAATCTTTTTGTAATTACTAAATGTGTAGTGGCTCCAGTGCAACACTGTAATACTGCTCCTCACTCTCTGCTAAACATCCATCATTTAAAGAAACTACAGAACATAACAAAATAGAAACACTAAGTTAGTCAAATTTGATGCTTAGTATCAGACTCTGTGTCAACTTTGTTAAACTTGGGTTACAGTAAGATGACCCTCCTATGCAAAATAGCCAAGCATTACAATACAAAACAATGGATTGAAAATATAAATATAAAGCTGTCATAATAAAAGTGTCAATAAAAAATAAAGCACAAAGACACAATATGGCCACAGTATATGGACACATGACCATCACACCTAATGAGCCAGATGGACATCCCATTCCTAAAGCATTATTTATGAATTTATAGTTATACATTTGTGTGTATTTTGTGTTTCACAAGAAAAAGCACACATACTTCCCAGATAGACAGTTTTAAATAATGTGCCAAGGTGGCTAAATGGGTTAGGCCTCTCAATGCTTGGGCCCCCGACATTGCCACATGAAGCTATACTTAGATTTAGGTTTAGCTTTGTCTATGGAGTGAAAGATTTAGTATTATTGTGAAAAGGGCACAGCAGGAGGAGGGGCACACCCACCCCAATACAAAGACAAACACGGACCACTCCTCAAAACATACGGTGGTGGGTTTAGAGAGGTGGTCTGGCTTTATTTTGGGTTTCTTAAGGTGTTTCTATTTATGACTCAAGAGTGTTTTGGGTTGAGTGCTGCTCCATTGTGGGCTTTTTCCTGGTTGATAGTGAATCAGATTCACAGGCTATTTGGTCAAAAGCTGTAAATCTTCAAGCATTTATCTTTCACAGCTTGATCAGAATAGCAATTTATGAGCCCACATCCTACAATTTACTCGTAGTTTATTATCTACTCATAATGTTTGTGTGGCTTTATGTAACAAAAACAGTCCTAATTCATTTCTACATTTCCATTTTCCAAACTCTCTTTATCCCTTACAGTTAAACAGGCTGATTTCGTTACTGTGCTGTTAGTACTGATATATGTAAATGAGCTTTATTCTGATTGGCTGCACTGTATTCTAAAAGCTGAGCTGAAACACGCGTTTGACAGCTTTATGACATCACAAAAAAAAATTTTCACAACCGTATGTGAAGTGAATGTTATGGGAAGCTAATGAAATGCTTTTTTCATGGTAAATAAACAGAGGCAGCTCACCTTGCACTGATAAAGCTGCAGTCTCTCTGTGAACCATATCAGGCAGCAGTTCACAGGTGACCTCCTGAACTGTGGGCCTGAATTCTGGACTCTTCAAGACAAATTCCCACACAGAGACAGCTGAGGTTGAGTGGTTCACTGCCCAGATGCTGTCGCTGTGTCCCAGAGGGCCATGCAGTGCAGAAATGGTCAGCATTGATCGGCCGTTTAGCTGCCACACCATCACATCCCACGGTTCATCAGTGCTGCAGTTGAAGCACACCTCGTCGCCCTGCAGGACTGTGGCTTTCCTCGGCTCCAGTCGCATCGCACTGAGCACCACTGGAAAGGGAAGATACAAAACACAGCACACCTCAAACACTGAGAAGCTACTGCAATAATTAAAGGAACATTCCAGTGTTTTTAACCTCATTTCTATCTGCTGCGTCTGTATTGTATGGCTAATTATAACAGACAAACCCAGATAAGATCAACTTTTACTGGCCGGTGTCAGATGGTCTAAGCCGGTCTTTGATTGTCTAGGTGGTCAACAAGCTGGACATCCAGCTGGACTATGCGAAAACAAACTCTATGCTGGTCAACCAGCTAAGTTTGGCTAACCATGTGTGGTGTAGGTATGCTTGGGATGGATGGTTTAGCTGGTCTATCAGCATGATCAACTTGTTCAAGCAGGTCAACCAGATGGGACTTGGTAGATGTTGTAACATGTCTGGAATGTTTCTTGGTGTGTCATGTTGAAATAAACATGAACGTCCTTGAAAAAAGGCAGCATATGTTTCTCCAAAATGTGTTCAGTGTTAATGGAGCTTTCACATATGTGCAGGTTATCCACTAATATCCGGCCCCCCCACACCATGAAAGATGCTGGATTTAGAAACCTACACTGCCAACAATCTGGAAAGTGCTTTTCTTCTTTTCTTCTGGACAACACGACATCCATTATTTCCATAAACAATCTGAAAGGTGGACTCATCAAACCACAGCACATGTTTCCACTGAGCATCAGTCCATTTCAGATGATTTCAAACCCAGAGAAGTCGGCAGCATTTCTGGATATTGTTGATATGTGATTTCCACTGACTGCAGAGTACAGTCTTAACCTGCATTTCTGGATGTAGTAATGGACGGTGTTTATTGACAGTAGTTTGTCAAAATATTCCCAAGCCCATCTGTGATCCCCATCACAGAAACATGTCATTTTTTAATGCAGTGTCATCTGAGGGTCATTCAGTTGCACTTTTAGGATTTTTCCTTTACGGATTTCTCCAGGCTGATGATATGATGCTCTGTAGAAGGTGAAACACCTAAAATCCTTGTTAACGCTCAACAAATCCTGTTCATAAAGGCCTTTTCTGGATGCTCCTTTTACAGTTGCATCACCTGTTTGAGATATTTTCAAAATTCACAATGTTCCCAATTGTTCCTGTCTCAACTTTTTTAGAACGTGTTACAGGCATCAGTTTCAGAATGAGTGTATATTTACAAAACGTTGATAAGATAAGAACATTAAATATCTTGTCTCTGTAATGCTGTATGTTTAAATACAGATCAAAGTAAATTTACTAATCACTGCTTTCTGTTTCGCAGTTTCTAAATATTTAGCAAAGCGTTGAAATGATTGTTCATGGAAATCAAGTGTACAATACAGACTGTAGATTGAAGTTAGTTTGAAAAACACCAGAACATTGTTAAATTCACTATTAAATTCACTTCATAGCACTTACCGTCCATCACACATGCCAGGAGAACCAGCTGGAGGAGGAGGACGCCGTGCATGATTCCACTGAGCCAGTCACGCCATCATTCCACTCTGCAAGAACATGAGAGAAAATACTGACACTTTTTATTTATATTACCAACATACTGATTTAAAAGGCTTTAAAGATTACTCTCCAAGCAATGTCCTAAACGAATCACTGCATTGGTCATTCCATTCTGTCTCATTCTAGATTAGAGCTTTGAGTCTTTTATTATTGTAGCATAGCCTATTAGCCCGTTAGCCTGTTAGATTTCTGCTTACCTGCTCAGTCTGCTAGTGAAGGCAGAATCCAGTTATAAAGAGAATATAACATATAAAAAATGAATGTGTTTTTTAATTTTAAGTGATTTTTAATTGGCAGTTCGTCATCTGGTTGCATTTTATGGGCTCAGATTTGAACTCTTAATGGCTGGACATTTTCACTGAGTCACTATGAAAACTCCTCAAAAACATTTAATGGGACAAAACAATAACTTTAAAAGAAAGCATGCATTATTTGACCTCACTAATAAGGTAATGAACAGCACCTTCATTCCACAACTGCATTTCAGCCATAATCTCCAAACACAGTGGTGAAGTGAAAAATAAGGTGGATAGGGCTGGGCAATATGAGGATATCATTATTGTGAATAAATATGTCACAATAGTCCATGATAGGTATATATAGGGATAGGCACTTCTAGAACATTGAACACCTGCATTGATTACAATAAAGACATATTTAGATCAATTATAGAAAGTCTGTAAACAACAACACCCAGTCTTAGAAGTAACAAAACTGTGAAAAATGATATCTTGGTGAGTACAATAATCTGAAATATACACTTAATCATTAATATTTCTCATTACAACACCGCTGAATAAATATGGTGAGATTATTTTACTTATTTCTAGCCATCTTCACTTGTTTAAGCAATTTTATCCCATGAAAGTGTCAGATATTTTTGCATGTTTTAAACATCTGCCAACAAATAGGACACTTTCACTAAAATAAAATGACTTAAAGCAACTCTAACCATAAGTTTAGTATATTACAGCTCCTAGCAATCTCATAATAAGAAATATTAGTTAATAATAATAGATTTAAGGTGATTTCACTCTCATATTATTGTTTTGCAGTAGCTGGTTGGATATTAGCTCATTATTTTATTACTTTATTTTTACAGTTGTTTTTTCTCCTTTCTCCAAACACTGAATTGAAAAATGATTGTACTCAGTTTTTCAGCCTTTTTAAAGTTTGTACTGCAGTTTTTTTGCTGGTGAATTTTGTCTGTTCTAGTTTGCTTGTGATACCTGCGTATTCTGTACTGTGAAAATGGCTTCAGTGATCATATTATGTTTTTAGTCACTCTTCTGATGATCTTTAAAGAATGTTAAACAGCCGTGTGGTGGTCACTGCTGAAGTTTATGGCTAATTCAACAGGCTTTATAACATGAGAACATTACAGGTGTTCTGTATAGTAGTTTTCATAACATCACACTATGATTGTATCATTCAGCTTGCAGAATCATAACAGCGTCCTAAAAGCGTCCTAAACTTTCATTATCAGCTTGTCATGTGATCATACATAATAACTGAACAGTGCTTACCAACCAACACTGGACTGGAACTGTAATTAGCAGGTTATTTATTTATATATATATATATATATATATATATATATATATATATATATAAATGTAATTTGTAAATGTATATATATATATATATATATATATAGATGTAATTTGTAAATGTATATACATATAAATGTAAACAGAGTCATTCAGAGTGGTTTGGTGTGAAACACTCTGCTCTAGAGAAACTTACCGACTCAGAATTGTTCACAGTGGTGGTGATAGGAACCAACGTCCACCTGTTAAAGCTCTCTCACAGACAGTTATTACATAAAATAGTTATGAATTCACTGCCTGATGTCTGAAATACTGCTTTACGTTAGTTTTAAGAAAATTTTGGCCTTAAACTCCATTCATGGTGGAGGGATACATAATATGCAGGGCGCTGTGAGGCAAAACAGTCCCCAAAGAAAACTTATTATTTTCAGATTTTCCATCATCAACATTCTCTGGAGACTCGTGTAGGTTCACTGGTGGTTTTGGATAGTAAATAAAATGTCTATATTTGTGTTGTAGTCATGGCAATGTCTGGTTCCTATCACCACCAGTGTAAAGACATCTGAACCATTTCACACCAAACCACTCTAAATCACTCTACTTACACCTCACACATGGAATTATGGAAAAAAAGTGTTGGATAGATTTAGATGTGTCTTACCTTAATCATAACCTCCTACAGATGTTTTAAGAAGATTCTCCACTCCAGCCTCTCACAGTGTGACTAAACATCTGAATCAGTCTGTTAAATATTACCCACAGAGAAACTGTGTTTTAGCCTTGACCCCCAGAGGAGCAAACACACTGTGACTCACAGACTCACAACACAATGCAGCTGAAATTCCTCTCCAAAAACGGCTACATGTTCACTTCCCCCATCGGCCCTCAGGAGGGAAAACAACGCAGCATTGTGTGAGAGCTGTGTAACTATACATGTTCTCTGACAGGATGTTCTTTAAATATACGCTGCGTTTGGTCATTCACTCATCCCGCTCTGAGATCCGCACACACGCCAAATAATGAACAGACAGAGCATCTCACTGCACACCGGTTTAATGGCAGGTTTTTAAACCGTTCAGTTCTGTCTACATTAAACAAAAGTGCATTTCAGTTCTTATAACTATACATAAAAGCTTATAGTCAGAGACGATACATTAGAATTAGGGCTGTCAGCATTAATCAACTAAACAATTAAACTCTATTAATTAAAGTGGACCTTCCTAAATCTGCAGTGATTAGTTCTCAATCTGCATGATGGTTTTATATATGTCAGTCAATGAGTGTATATATCATATACATCATATACATAGTCAGTGGTTCGGCTCTTCTCTGACTGTATCTCTCACTCTCGTTCATTCAGCTCGTGGGTTCTAGTTTCAGTGGAGGATCTCGAGGGGAACTGAGCTCCACCAAGCTGCAGCTTTTGTTAGTTTGCTGCTTGTTGATCTATTCATAGTTTATTAAACTCTACCAGCAGCACCTGGTTTAATTTAATGAAGCACTGATTAGATAAAACAGGTATTGGTTGATAACGACAGATAACATTGGGCTTCCTCGAGTAACGGCATTATTTGTGTTTATTGTAATATTGGTAGTGTTATATATATATATATATTTATATAACCCTACCAATATTACACATATATATATATAGGCGTGGTTTGGTTGATTACTGTTCACCTCTTTTTTTATTTGGCTTTTTAATGCCACTTGATTTATTATGAGAATAATTGATAAATAACCTGATTACTAATGTAATCAATAGTGACAGCCCTAATTAAAAGGCATCAAATCAAAAGGAGAGATGAGAAGCAAGTGTTGTTAAAGTCAGTTTTCTAAACAAAGATTAAGACTAATTCTCCACTGAAACTGCTTTTTCCTCCAGGATTATATTTAATATGTTCTTAATCTTAATCTGTGTAGAAAACCGGGCCTCTGATCTACAGACACCAACAAGTCACATCAGCAGCTTCAGAAACCTTCAGTAACGTCTACTGAACACAACAGTGAACACAGATGAACTACACAGGTCGGAGGGGATTACAGTGCAGACTCTGCAGAGTTTTGTGTTTGTTTTATAACTCGAGACAACAAAGACATAAATATTACAAAATCTGCCTCCTCGACTTCCTCACAGTATAAAAACTACATTTCCCTAAAAGGAGCGCAGGAGCGGATGCTGGGGTTCATGTACAGATTGGGTTTCCAGAATTCAGTCATTTGAACGATCTCTCCCGGGTCGTGGTGGGACATTTCTTGGACGATGGTGCACGTCTTCGAGGTGGTCTTCAGAGACTGCCACAGCGGGTGGGATGGAGACACTTCATGCTGAAAAGGAGGGTAGAAGAACGACCACGTTTGGGTGAAACGAGGATCTAAAATGTTTTTTTCATTTTTTTAATTCACTTTGAACAGATAACATCTCAGTAGACAATGTGTTTATTTGTAAGAGCATCATTCTATAACTGTGGGTGTGTTTCGTGTCTGGATGATGCATTTTCAACAACATAGTCATCACTTCTGTCATTTTTTACTTTTTTGTACAGTTTAAAAACCACACAATTGTGTTGTAGTTGCACTGTGTTAAAATTTCGTGATGAACAGACCAACAGAAATGGTCTAAAATTACTTGTGAAAAATCTGGTTACATTAGCTTCCATTACAAGTTAAGAAGGTTTTTTCCTTCTCCTGTAAAGTTGCCATTTTGGGGATACGATGTTATCGATGTAGGAATAATCAGTCCTTGGGATACTCGTGCAAGGAAACTTTTAAAAACCTCCAAAGAGTTGATGAAGCCTAGGAGAACATTTAGATATCAAAAATCTAAATTTAGGAGCTAAAGTTAAAATATAATGAAATAGCAAATTAAATAATAGATTAAATGAAATTAAAACAGCGCTAAGATAAAGCGCAAATATTAAAATAGTGCTAAGATAAGGCGCAACTATTAAAACAGTGCTAAGATAAGGCGCAACTATTAAAATAGTGCTAAGATAAAGCACAACTATTAAAATAGTGCTAAGATAAAGTGCAAATATTAACAAATGTACTCTACTGTTGTAAAGTCATATACCTTGTTAGAAAAACTAGTGTAGACCTGTATGGTCTACAAAACTGTTGTGTTTCGGGTGCTGGTATGCTTGTCAACCAGTATGACCATGCTGGGTGACCAGCTAAACCAGCACCAGACCAGCAGAAACCAGCATAATTTGGTTTCTAAATAAATCGGACTGTGCTATTTTTTCAGTAGGGACATGAATTATTCAAACTAGACTATGAGTGTTTATTTACATACTGAGGTTTAAGCTAAACTGCTGAGCTGGACTGTGTCACTGAGTCTAATCAAAACTAGGCAGGTTGGAACGTTAGCATCAGACTAAATTGGGGTTTTACCCAGTGTCCTGTGCAGGCCTGTCACTATCATGAAGTTTTAGCTTATAAACACTTGAGATTGACGATTATTTATTCTATCGTTTTATGCAAAATTGAAAGCCTAAAGTGGTCAGACTGGCTAATCAGTTATCCTACTTCCTAGCTTTATTTATCAGTAGCTAATTCATGGTTGTACTGATATAAATTGATATGCTGCTCAGTGTCGTTACCGCAAAAAAGTGCAGAAAAGTGCAGCTACACAGATTCACATTTAGAGTCGAGCAAAGCCACATTTTTCATTCTTTTATGAGCAAAAACACTCATACTGCAAGCACACATGCTAATCTTGCTAAAGAAAAAAAATTAAGATGTTCTGCTGGTTCCTCCTGATGGTTTGATATCACAGTCTAAAGGACTCCAATCTGATTCCAGATACAGCTGATGGTTTAATGGGATCTAAAGGTGTCCTACAGGAAACTGTCTGTAAGGGTTACCATTAAGAAAGTTCCCGTTAAAAAAGCAGAACCACCAGGTTTTACTTCTGATGGTTCTAACGTTTGTTTTTCAGCAAGGAAAAACATTAACTACATTAGCTAATAAATACATACACATCACTCACTGCTGCACTCTAAAGTTTGTACTATATTTCCAATAAATGCATAATTTTCAAGATTATTTTCTGAATATTAAGAGAAATATTACAACAAAAAATCATATTTAAGCTCTTTAAATGTTTTTGGCACACTAGAAGGCAAGGCTTCACAAAACTGGACAGCCAAAAAAAATTGTAAGTGACATCCATCTTATTTTTGTAATTGATTAATGGTTTTAATCAAATTTTATTACATTATTTGGTAAAATTTAATCAAGTAATACTTTAACAAAAGAATTTATGTTGATAAAGATACATCAAAGGTGCAAACCGCACATGAAACGTGTCCACAATTACAGAGCGACTCAATATGAGGCATTAAATTCACTTCACTAAGAGCCTCATTCACACACAGGCATTACTGTGTAGCTCCACCTGCTGGTGAAGATGTGCACTGCTGTACCTTCACTGTTCTACTGCTGTGAGTTGGTGGATTAGTCCTCAGCCTCTTCTGCTTCTTCTCCCTCCTGTGGATAAACACACAACACAGTTAGCATTTACACACAAACCGTCTCTGAACAGTCTGAGCCGATACCTGCAGTGGATTAGACGATAAAGCAGAGCAAATTAATCTGCAGGTGCTACTTTCGTTTTCACGCAGTTTGAGGAATGCATAGATAATGGCTTCACCGCATATTAGTGCAGTTATTCAGTTATCATCACACCTTACTTATTTGCTTATTACAGAAGCAGTCAGGTTTAATCCTTCCTTTTATTTTGGTCAGACACTAGAGGGCGCTCCTGAGAGAGTTTAAAAATGAATGGGCTTCTATAGAGCTTTTTCACAAAATTCTAATGTGTGAATTCTGTCTTTTCCGTCCCAGAACAGCATTAAATACTTAAACATCACTGTCATTTGTCTTAAAATGCTTTTCAGCTCCAGTTATAGGATTTTTTAACAGGCCCGTGAAAGCATCTTAAGTGAGCATCTTAAGTCGATATATCTGATACCGATAAAATGACTTAAAACAAGTCAAATTACATAGAAACAGTTGTATATTTTTACAACAATCTCACAATGAGAAATATGAAATATGTCAACTATATTTAAGACAATTTGACTTACCAGACTCATAAAAAGAAGGTTCTTTAAAAGGAATGGTTCTATTTAGTTCCCTGAGTTCTGTATAGAACCATTTGCATGGTGTAATGGTTCTTCAGACTGATGGAGAATGTGTCGCATTTCTATCTAGCATCAAAAAGGCTTCTGCTGTTGTTATGATGTCAAGCCTGTAACAATAGCAGAACCCATTTTTGGTGCTATATAGAACCCTTTTCAAAAAGGTTTAGTATAGAACCATATACAACACATTCTCCATCCATCTGAAGAACCATTTCACTATGCAAAGAACCAATGAGCATGAAAATGGTTCTGTGTGGAACTCATGGTTCTAAACAGAACCGTCTTTACTAAAGAACCCTTTTTTCTGCTGTAAGTACTCGCTGGAGGATTACTCTGCTTCCGCTATGACAATAACAGTGATGGTGAGTAGAGCGTGTACAGCTCACTCAAGTGTTCAAGCTTGAAGCAAAAACAGCCTTCTTAGATTGGAATAAGGTCTAGAAATCTGATTAAGAAATCCAATAAAGAGGCTGGATTTTAGCTCAGTAATCAGATGTCTCAGTGCATGTAAACACTTACTCTGATTTCTTTCGGATTTCTCAGTCTGAGCTTGTGCAAAAACAGACGGCTATACCGGATATAAGCGAGCAGCGTTTAAAACATCACCTGCGACAAACAGCAAAACACTTTTGGAGCGATACTGAAACCGACTACATGCTTGACAAAATGAAGGATTTAAATGTTCTTCATCTTTTAGATGATGTATGTTTGTATTTTCCAGTAAACTGCTGTGATGTTTTTTAAAAAAGTTTGAGTTTCACGTTAAAACAGAGAGATCCTAATTTTCATAATCATTTTGTGCCATACTTTCTTCTACTTTCCTACAATAAAGGAAATTCCTGTGTAAAAGACTAGAAGCCTTTTCAATGATGATTTCACTCATTTAGAACCATTAGCCTCTATTCATTGCGGACTCTCTCTGGCTCCCTCTAGTGTTTTCTAGTCATATTTCTGGTGTAATGGGATGAACAGGGAGCGATCAGGCTCCAGTCCTCACGGCCAAAACACTGCAGACCTCAGCACACGGCCTCATTAAACACACCTGATTCAGCTCATCAGCTAATTAGTAAGGCCTTCATGAACTGAATTCAGAGTGTTAGATGAGGGTAAACACTGATCTCCGCAGCACTTTGGCCCGGAAAGAAAAGGAAGTTTGACGTTCCTGCTCTAAACCATTAAGTCTCCAAATGAGCCCTGGTGTTCTTTGCCTCTATGGGGAAAAATGAATTTTCCAAAGTTTCTCCTTCTGTGGCAAACAAAACGACCAAGACTGCAAGGTTTTATCCAGCACACATTTTCTCCTGTATTATCTGAATTATGGGTTCGTTAAAAAGTCGAAAAGCTCTTATTGCACAGAAGCAGCAGCATACCTGCGACACCTGAGCCACTTCATCCTCCTGAGTCACAGAAACAGCAGCACATTAAAACATGGGAAGAACAGAACATGCCCCATGTTTTAGACCACACACAGCTCACACAAGCTAAACTACGTCATCTGAACAGATACGCGTCGCTGAACTGCTGTAACACTCGAGCAGGAAACACGAAAAGAAGATCATAATGTGGGATTGTGTATGTGTGTGAACACCAGAGACCAAAGCCATGGAGATCTACCTCATTGACTGGCTCTTCTTGAGGCTCTTCCTGTGATATGAGTGGATGGAATGAAGGGGGGGGTGTTAAAAAGAATGGAGAGAGTGAGCAGTGATGGAGGGAGGATGGAGCCAGTCTGGTCTAACAGCTTTACCAGCTGATTCAACATGATCTGACCAAGATCTGACCAACATGGTCATCCTGTTATAACCAGCTTGAAAACAATGGTCACCTAGCTCTAACCAGGTTGAAAAAACGTGGTCATCCAGAGCTAACCCGCTTGACCAAGATGGCCATCCAGATCTAACTATCTTGAAAAAGATGGTCATCCAGGTCTGTCTGGCTTGACCAAGATAGTCATCCAGTTCTAATCAAGTTGAACCAGATGGCAATTCAAATCTAACTAGCTTGACCAAGATGGTCATCTAGCTCTAACCAGCTTGACCAAGATGGCCATCCAGATCCAACCAGCTTGACCAAGATAGTCATCCAGATCTAACCACGTTGACAAAGATGGTCATCCAGTTCTAACCAGGTTGACCAAGAGGCCATCCACATCTAACTATCTTGAAAAAGATGGTCTTTTAGCTCTGTAGTGGAAGGCACTGAAGGAAGGAAACCATCAACAAAGGCATGGTTTCTCATCAATGAGGGTAAAGTTACCAATTCGGAGTTTATTTTAAGTTGCACTGTGACTAAAGACTGCCAGTACATTTCCAGTATGTATGATTTTAATTTGCTTAATACGATTATGTGAAAATCAACACATTTTTATCTGTTTATGGTAAATGTGGTATATTTTACATGTTTATTTGTGTTGTATGTGTGGGTCTGCACCAGAAACCAAAGCCACTGAGATCTACCTCACTGACTGGCTCTTCTTGTTCCTGTGATATGAGTCAATGTGGTGGATGGGGGGGATGAGAAAAAGAATGAAAAAACAGAGAAGGAATGAGGAGGTGGGTGGATGGATGGATGGTTGAATGATGATAAAAAGAAAAAGAAGAGAAAGTGAGAAAAGTAGCACACAGAGAACTCGTTTCTCTAAACGACAACCAAGTCAGAGAGAGCGAAGTTACCAACTCTGTTTCTGAACAGCAGCAGAATCCAAGACTAAACTGTCACAAATTAAAGCCAGTAAGAATGTCTGAGCTGTGTGTGTCCAGAGGAAAGATGTTGGTGACTCGCTCTCATTTCATCGCTGCAGACACTCTGACTTTCTGGAGGTCAGATGGAGCATGCAGGACTCTGCTGAAGCCGTGGCCAACACGTTCATTTAAGATATGGACCATCGCTGTCGTATCAAAACCTTGTAACTTAATTTTTGTTTTTTCCACACTCCTGTTTTGACATAACATGAACATTTAACGATGAATGGACCAAAAGAAATGGCCCAAAATGAACTGGAATAAAACGTTACGTTAGCTTACTTTAAAAACAGGGCTGTAAGATTAATTACATTTTTAATGTCAACACAATATGTTAAACAAATCAATAAAAAGAGCAATAACAGATCTGATCAAATTACCTCTAATACAGAGCTCCATTTCATAATTACACTGGAGGAACATTGTATAAAAGCCTAACATGCTTCTGCAGAGTCAGTGACTTAACCGCTCTGCTATAGAGCTACTTACAGAGCACACCTGCTTGCACAGCTCTAGCATAACAAACTAACCTGCGATAATACATTAAATATATGATGATGATACATGGAAATGATTGAAATGTGATGACTATTATGTGTGTAAAAGGTGTGACAGTAAAGCCTGCTGTCACAACAAACCTGCATCATCATAAGCAGCTTTCTGAATTCATCATCCCGTTGTGTGAAGACCTTGACAGTGTACAGATGTAATGTAAGTAGCTCTTTTATGAATGTTGGTATTTGCTTACAGGGTTATATTTCTGTTTTATTACACAGCAATTTTAATGCATTTTATGTCCAAATCGTTCCACCCTGACAATTTAGAACTTTTTTTGCTCCTCGTGTAAAGTTACCAGGTTTTGTTACGACAGTGACAGTTCACTACATGTACATTTTCGCTGATTTAACTTTTAAAACTTGTCATATTGTATGTCTTTGTGTCAAGTTTGGTCCACAACAACCAAAACAAGAAAGGAAAAGGCAAAGTAACATCAAGAGAAATTAAGGGAGGAAACTGAAAGAGAAAGAGAGAAACAAATCATCTCAATCTACCTCAAGCTGTCGAAGCTCCTCCTCTTCCTGAAAAGGTAAAAGAGTGGATGAGCGTGTGGAGAGGAACCGAGAGGGAGAGAGAGAGAGAGAGAACACATAAAACAGGCATGCGACTGGAGAGAGAGAGAGAGAGAGAGAGGGAGAGAGAGGGAGAGAGAGAGAGGGAGAGAGGGAGCTGCTTTAATCTGAGTGTAGAGGGAGTCAGGCTGCAGGAGGACTAGAGAGAAACAGGAGGTGAGAGCAGAGAGAGTTAGATGGGTTTAAAACAACCCAGACTGTTCATCACTACCACAACAAACACCACCAAACAAACCCACACAGCCTGGGGGGCTAACAAGAGAAAACGAGGGGGGTCTGTCCATGAAAACCAAGTTACCTCAGACACTAAGTCCTCTTCACCCTGGAAGGAAGCAGGAGGAGAGATGGAAGAGGGGCAGAAAAAGGTTTACAGACGAAGAAATGGGAGATAACAGGTGTGATCTGTGTTTATGCAGTCACTCTCTGCGGTTCACTGATGTACGTCATTATTGCAAAGACCAATACATATTCCGGTACATGATACCTCATACTATTCAATAGTAATACTTTAATACTAACACTAATTAGAGCTAATTATATTAGTAAAAAGATCATTAACCAGTTATGCTCACCATTAACTGAGTGACCAGTTTTTAAAATTGGCCAGAGAAGAGAAACTGGCTTAAAGGGGCTGTATGTATCCCCCCACCATGAAAGGGTTTTAAAAATGTTCAAAAAACTTTGGAAAATTGGTGGATTTCCCCTTTAAGTGAACATGAATAATTAATAATACCTAAATTACACTCTTATGAAACATGGTGCTTCAACGGCTTTTCTCACTAAAGAAAATGGTTCTATCTAGAACTATGAACGCTCAAAGACTCTGCATCATAAAATGGTTCTTCAGATTGATGGAAAATGCGCATGAATGTGCTATGAATGGTTCTATATAGAACCTTTTTGAAAATAGTTCTATATAGCATCCAAAAGAGTTTTTCTATTGTTACAAGCTTGACACCATGACAACAGCAGAACCCTTTTGGCTGCTGTATAGAACCATTTTCAAAAAGGTTCTATATAGAATCAACAACAGCACATTCTCCGTCAGTCTGAAGACGCCTTTCATGATGCCAAGAACCCTTTAATCATGCATTTCAAGGTTCATGGTTCTATAGAGAATGATTTCTACTAAAGAACCCTTGAGGAACCATCTTTTTAAAGAGTGTAGATCTCGCAACAGCTGGGACTTGTCGAGACTAAGTGGGGATTTTCCCCAAAGACTTTCAGTTAAAGTGATCAGACAGATGTTGGAAAGGTAGATTTAGGTTCCTCTCCAGTGGAGAGTCTTCCGGTACTCTGAGGTGCTGAGCTACTGCTTATTAGAGTTTCTCTCTGGACAAACTCAAAGCTGCACAGAGGCTGCAGGAACTGGATAAAACACTACACTGCTGTTACACTCCTACACACAAATACAACAAACGATTAAAGGTGCAGTATACAATTTCAGTCCAATACACTTTCTGCCAAATTCAGTAAGTGTCTCCTGACTGTCCACTAGCTCTCCATTCTGTGTGTGTGCTGGAATAAATCCTATGTTGGTGCACAGCCCTGAATCTGTAAACGGGAAAACAAACAAAGTGGCTCAGACCGAATGACACAACACTATTCCAGCCAATCAGCAACAGGGGCGCTCATGCTCGTGCACAAGACAGGCTAAATGCTCACATATGAAGAAGAAGAGATGGAGAAAAACAGCTTAAGAGGAGAACATCTGAAGAACAAAGACTAAGAAAGAAGTTCTTAGATCAGGTGATGGCGTTTCAGCGGTGGAGACCTCCGAGAGCTGACGAGAGGGACGCTTCAGATTCTTGCTCCCATTTTCCAGTTCCACCTTAAATTGTGCAGCAGTTCCATTCTGGCACTCAGGGAAATAGGAAAATTCCAACAAGAAGCTGAGGTGCCTGAATGTGTCTGCTGCACCATTTAAGATGGAATGGAAAAATTTAAACAAGAAGCTGAAGTGCCTGAATGTGACTGCTGCACTATTTAAGGTGGAACAGAAAAATTTAAACAAGAAGCTGAGGTGCCTGAATGTGACTGCTGCACTATTTAAGGTGGAACAGAAAAATTTAAACAAGAAGCTGTGGTGCCTGAATATGATTGCTGCATCATTTGAGGTGGAACAGGAAAATTCCAACAAGAAGCTGAGGTGCCTGCCGCACTATTTAAGGTGGAACAGGAAAATGCAAACAAGAAGCTGTGGCGCCTGAATGTGATTGCTGCATCATTTAAGGTGGAACGTAAAAATTCAAACAAGAAGCTGAGGTGCCTGAATGTGACTGCTGCATTATTTAATGTGGAACAGGAAAATTCAAACAAGAAGCTGAGGTGCCTGCTGCACTATTTAAGGTGGAACAAGAAAATTCAAACAAGAAGCTGTGGCACCTGAATGTGATTGCTGCATTATTTAAGGTGGAACGGAAAAATTCAAACAAGAAGCTGAGGTGCCTGAATGTTTCTGCTGCACTATTTAAGGTGGAACAGGAAAAATTAAACAAGAAGCTGAGGCGCCTGAATGTTTCTGCTGCACTATTTAAGGTGGAACAGGAAAAATTAAACAAGAAGCTGAGGCACCTGAATGTGACTGCTGCACTATTTAAGGTGGAAAAGGAAAATTCGAACAAGAAGCTGAGGCGTCTGAATGTGATTTCTGCACCATTTAAGGTAGAACAGGAAAATTCAAATTTGAACAAGAACCTGGCGAACAGGACGCCGACTTCGGTTTCATGGAGAGTTGAAACGCATGAAAAAGGACGAGGAGGCTGCTCTGTTTCTGCTTGACAGGTGGGAAACATTAACTTATGTTTGCTGTTTCACAGAATCGATAGGTCAGTATTGTCCCACTTTGTGTTTGTCATAGCAACTGGTTACCTTTGCAGCAGCAACTGTAGTGACTGCTTGCTAACCCACAACCTAAGTAACGTTAGCTACATTACTCGTTGTTTGCTCTCGTTTGTGGCCATACAACCTTTCACAAAGATCTAAAAAAAAGAAGTTTGCTAGCCCAATGAAGTTCACCTTGGCAATGCTTGGCAATGCATGTCCATGAATTTGGGGAGTGGATCTTCTGAAGGAACCCTGAAGGGAAGGAAGTAGTTATTTTGCTGTTGAGTTCAAACATCAGCATCGTTCTCCAGAAGTGTATACTGCACCTTTAATGTTATGTGGACAAAGTTCGGCCTGCTTGATTTTCGGCCAAAAAGATTTTATTGAGACCTTATTCAACATAACACCTAAAGAATATCTGCTATTGGTCACAGCGCACAATAAACCATTTGGTGACTGGCCAGAGGCTTGTCTGCATATTGTGGTTTCAGTACTGCAAATGCTGATATCATGATGCTGATTAACCAACAAATTACTGTGCGGTGCTGATAGGTTAGGGGCATTTGATGGATTTGATGGAAAAAATCTTTTAAAAAATGATCAGTACAGTGATTTTTATACAGTTTTCACTCATAGCACTGAATCCAATTAAACAGTGCTAATTATAATCTCTCTGTAATGAAACACGCAGCTGTCCGTGTTCTGTGCTGCTGTGGGAGATTCTGACCCTGTTCTGATTCTGATTCTGTTGCTAGAACACAGCTGATGCATCATCTTTGTTGTTGCCATGCCAATGGCAGAGACAACCGTGACTGGTCAGAGTTCATGTCACCAGCAAAAGTATCATCATACTGCTCACCAATATAACAGGTACTTCTCAGATAATCAGGTACCACCGACCCTCTTTACACCTGGCTGTTTCATGTAACTTGTATCTGGACTGAAACCTGATCAGATTTTAACAGTACGCGTTTACATTTGGTAATCGAGTCTCTGGTGAGTCACTGAAATTTCCAGTTTTGGTTGTTGTAGAGACGGATTTGTTTACACTTGTATAATTACAAGTGTATCACCTGAAGCAGTTTGAGTGATCAGATTTAAATCGGTTTAAAAAGGGTGGGTTTACACCCGTGTTTTGATGTGGATAATCTCTATGCAGATCTAATGCTGAAGTCGTATTACAGAAACCTCCTATCTTTCGTCTTAAGTTAAGATCGGACAGGTCAAGATAAGATTTTTCACAAATTCATATTACAGAATCAAATCTGATCTTAATTAGGAAGCTTCTATTATCTTACAGCATCTTATCTCCAGTTAGGAAATCTTAACCTACGCGATCAAAGTCGACAATCAACTGCAAAGCCACACACAGCTGCAACATAAACATGTCATCAAAATAATGTTAAAAATGTGAGCTACAGCTGCCATTACTGATGTAAAATAGATCAAATTAAACTAAAGTGTGATAAACTGTAAGTTGTGAATACTGTGAGAGCACCCCCTGCTGTTTATCAGAGTGTCGCCACTCCCCAGTTTCAGACTCCATTTCCCAAACACTTTAGCCAGTATAAATAAATGTAGCTCATTATGCTGGTAGTAAACTATGCTGCCTAAAAATCATAGAAACAGAGGCTTAAAGAGAAGTTAGGACCCTGTTGGGGTTGATCCTAAAGTTAGGACAGTATTTAGGAGGTTAGGATGTTTGTGTGATACTGTTATCTGGAGTTAATGATGAGGTTATGAAGTTAGGAACTGTTATTCTGGAATAGCTACTGTCCTGAATTCAGTCCGGACTGAAGTCGCCATGGAGACTAAACAGGTCAGATTTCAGAGTTAAGATGTTTCTGTAATACAGCTACTGATTCTCAAAACACATGAACTGAGCAGGTGTAAATGGGTCGTGGCTCCTGGTCCAAATGTGTGGAGAACTGCAAAACTGTTAACGTTTAAAGCAACAATGTGCTGTGAACAGTGGAGACAAGCAATCCAAGGAGTTCCTGTAACAGCAACATTAGCATTCTGAAGGGCTGCGTAGTTCGTTCCAGTATTAGGACTGACCACACCATGCTAGAACATCTGAAGAGGAACAGAAAGACTAATCACGATGGAGAACATCTACACATGCACCAAACAGACCTGCTGAAGAGAGACAGACAGACTGAAACACTCAATCATCCCAATTCCACACAGATAGGAAGAAACCAGAGGTGGGACTGTTACGCAAGAAGTTTGAGGAGCTTGACTGAAAGTACACTCAGTGGCCGCTTTATTAGAAACTCCTACTCTACAGCTGTACACATTTCAAAAGAATGGTTCTTCAGGAGTTCTTTATTTAAGAGAATGGTTCTATATAGAACCAGCAAACACTCAAATAACCATTTCATGCTTAAATGGTTCTCTGCATGGTGAAATGGTTCTTCAGACTGATGGAGAATGTGTGGTATATGGTTTTATATAGCACCTTTTTGAAAAATGGTTCTGTACCAAAAAGGGTTCTTCTATGGTTACAAGCTTGACATTGTAACAATAGCAGAACCCTTTTTTGTACTATATACAACAAATACTCCATCAATCTGAACAACACTTCAGCATGCAAAGAACGATTTAAGCATGCAAAGGGTTCTTTGAGCGTTCTCACGGGTCTATATAGAATCATTCGCTTTACTAAAGAACCCTTGAAGAACCATCTTTTTTAAGAGTGTACACTAGGCTGCCAGGGACGCGGGAAGTAAGGCTGCAGCACCACATATTTCAGGAATGCAACTGCTAAATATAATAATAATAGTAACAAGTTCTGCACTTTATAATAATTCTCTATAATAAGACCTGTGTGCTTATTTTACAGTGGAGTTTGTATTTTTTATATTATTTAATCCTGCAGTAGTCGTGCATCGTTTAAGTTAACATTATATTTTCATTACACTGCTTCCCTCAACAACTGCTGGCCACTGGGCGTCTCTAAAAACCCGTTCTGAACACCGAAGCAGCCTAATATTATTTTTGAAATTTATAAAATCGTCTAACTTAATAGCAACATTTTTATCAACCCACTCAGTGTTAAAACTCCCTGTGTGACTGAGGATCTGACACAATCGGTTTCTGCACCACATATTAATAATCTGATTGGTCAGCGCTCAGTTCATTTGCATAAAGTTCGTCCAGAATGAAGGAGCAGAGAGAGGATATGCGTTGTGCTTTGATGTGTCAGTTTTTTGATGACGTTTTATTAAATAATCAAAAGAAATCAAATAAAAAAGTAAATCAATCTGATGACGTCATCATTCATGTTACAAATATGCTGCTTAAAATTTTAGCCTCAACTTAAAACACCTCCCCGCGTCCTTGTCGGCTGCCACCGTCAACTAGAAGTTACAGTCCACACGTGGAGAGTATAGCATATATACAGAACACTGTGCTTTGAACAGACTGTGCACTTTCATATTAAACTGCTCTTTACTGTTAAAATGATGTGAATGATGTAAGATGCATGCATTTGTCACATTATATCATGTTTAAGTAAAATGTTTACAGTGAAATATTAAAACTTGACACCCTTAGGAGATTTAAAGGGCCCATATTCTGCATATTTATATATATTGCATATAATGTAACAATATTGCAACTGTAACAATAATGCAGCTGCTATAGGCTAAATGAGAGGGCCTAGACTGCTGTAGGCTGAAATGGGTGGGGCTAAAGTGCTGTAGGCTAAATGGGTGGGGCTAAAGTGCTGTGGGCTGAATGGGTGGGGCTAAAGTGCTGTGGGCTGAATGGGTGGGGCTAAAGTGCTGTAGGCTGAATGGGTGGGGCCAAAGTGCTGTAGGCTGAATGGGTGGAGCTAAACTGCTGTGGACTGAATGAGTGGGGCTAAAGTGCTGTAGGCTAAATGGGTGGGACCAAAGTGCTGTGGGCTGAATGGGTGGGGCTAAAGTGTTGTAGGCTGAATGGGTGGGGCCAATGTGCTGTAGGACTGAATGGGTGGAGCTAAACTGCTGTGGACTGAATGGGTGGGGCCAAAGTGCTGTAGGCTGAATGGGTGGAGCTAAACTGCTGTGGACTGAATGGGTGGGGCTGAAGTGCTGTAGGCTGAATGGGTGGGGCCAAAGTGCTGTAGGCTGAATGGGTGGGGCTAAAGTGCTATGGGCTGAATGGGTGGGGCTAAAATGCTGTGGGTTGAATGGGAGGGGCTAAAGTGCTGTAGGCTGAATGGATGGGGCTAAACTGCTGTAGGCTGAATAGGTGGGGCTAAAGTGCTGTGGGCTGAATGGGTGGGGCTAAAGTGCTGTGGGGTGAATGGGTGGGGCTAAACTGCTGTAGGCAGGGCCCTTTAAAGAAGACATAAACTGTAGTTATCCATGTCAGCCTGCAGAGACACAGGAAGGAAGAATAAGACACAGCAGTCCAATGTCAAGCAGATGAGCGGCTACGAGAGATCAGGGAGAGTTAGCCATCACCACGACGACACAAACACAAACAAGGAGCTGGAAAAAAAGTAAAACACACAGACTGTATGACGTAAACATGAATTGGAATGCATGAAACACTTCAAACGTCGATCTACCTCTGAAACTGGTGCATCGTCTTCTTCCTAAAACAGCCGACAATTATAGTTATAATTATTCTTCCTTCACATTTTCAGTGTTCAGTCTTATGGAGCAAGTTTTCCTCCAGCTTCATCACTTTATCTGTAAACTTGATTTGTGGTTTTCAGCAACTCTTGGAATCAGAAATTGAACACGAACGTACTGATACTGAATGGGAAGTCAATATAAACCGTATAAACTATTCTAGAACATCATACACTGAACAGACTTTAACACACTACCACGACATAAACAACGATGTGCATGAAAACATTAATAACTGTGAGTTTTGGATCCATTAGTGATGTGACTGTTTTTGAATATGACTCCAAAGGTGCTGTAAGTAAAATGTGTGATTTCTTTTGTGTTTAAAAACAGAAGAGAGTCTCTTACCCTCTCATATTCTCCTTCTTCTTCACCTTCCTGTCAATAAATAAAAGACAAAACTTAAGTTGTGGCCACAGGAGGGAGATACAATAGCAACTGAATGTCATTAACAATAAGCCTCATTATAAAACATACTGCATATTTATGCATTTAGTCCATTTTGAAATACATTTTTCTTTTTCACACTGTCTCTCAGTGTTAGCTGCTACAGTTTCCACAAGGATAAATTATCATATTCACATTGTATTGCTACATATTGCAGATGTAATATTTACATTATAGTACACCAGAACACTTTGTGTGACATGGCTGCAAACATTTCTTTTGAATTATTAAAAAGATTTTGCTCACCCGATCAAAAATTGCAATGATTTATTAAATTCCCTCTAGAACAGGGGTGTCATACCGGTTTCCTTGAAGGCTGCAGCTCTGTAGAGATTAGCATTAACCCTCCTCTACTGCTCTCCTTTATGACACCCTTTATCTAGAACTTTAATTGAGGATGGAACACCACCAGAATCTGAACTTAAATCTCCTGTCAATGAGGCAAATCCATAGACAACTTTGCCATGTGGGAGCATCTTTTAAAACCAAAAAAAGAAAAGCTCATCATGATGTAATTAAGCGTTGTCATATCATCACAGCAGCTGATCGTCACTAGCACAGCCTCCATGAGGAACGCAAGCTCAAGCCTTCTTCTATGAAAGGAACGAAGTCACATTCTGACTGCATGAGCAACCAAACACTTATACCGGCTATCACATCTCAGAGGAGGAACCCGGTCATCTCTCCAAAACTGGCATATGAGAGCGTCTGATTCAGCCTTCCAAACAGAGATGAAATATAAGGTAAACCAACTCTTATGCAAGAGTGCATAAGATTCAAATCTATTCAAGTCCGTGGGGAGAAAAGTGATGCAGTTCCTGATTAACACATACTACCTTTGTGTGGCGTGATTTTCTTTTCAGTGCTCATGTTAACAGGTCAGCACTTTCAGAAGGGCTGTGCAAGTGGAGCGGCAGAGCGTCCCAGACGCACTGAAGTGGTGCAATATTTAGGGAACAGACGAGAAGCTGATTTTTTCTGCCTGCTGCATGTGCTACACCGCAAAATACACTAAAGTACGTCATGAAAATCAAAGAAAACTAAACATAAAACTTAATAAAAACTTCTTAAAAATACTATTTTTGAATTGTAATGTATTAATTTTAATTAATGAATAAATTTTATTAATTAATGTATTAGTAAATTAAATTTAATTCATGAACGTTATCAAATGAAATACTAGTTAAACATTTTGCACTGCACACAGATTTCCAGGCTTCTACCAGGCTTGAAACCACCCAATCACAAGTCAGAATGCTGTTGTGGGTAAAAAAAATAAATTACTTTTTTATGGAGCAGAGTAACTGATTTGACTGTTTATTTATTTATCTTTATCACTCTCTCGCTGCTCCGCTCCGCATCACAAACGCTGTATGTATGAAAGGCCAGTGGTCAGTGAGAGCTGTAGCACTCATGCTGCTGCGTCGCTCACACCATGCAGAGGTAGCATGTGTGAATGAGGTTTAGGTCTTGTGCCATCCACTGACGTTTATGGAACTCAGGTCTCTGTTGCCTGTATAAAGGGGGAATCCCCCTCCCTCTCAGCAAAACCACGCCGGCTCTCGCTTCATGAATCCTTTCTGGTTCCTCTCGCCGCTTATTTTTCGCTTTCTCTAATGCCGTGTTTACATGTTTACATTCAAAATGAAGTTGTTCCGTCCCTCGTAGCGACACGAGACTGAAAGTGGTATAAAGGCATGCAAACACTGGCAGGACGATGGTGACAATGAAGGAAAAGATTATTATCAGCGGAGAGCTTTAGTTGTGTTTTATCAGTGTGTTTTACTTATTTAGGGTAAAATACGCTGCCCATGGCTCCCAAAATATCCACATCCACTTTATTCCACCTCATCTGTCGACAGCCAAAGTTGGAAAAAAGAGTATGCAGTGTGACACTGATGTCTATCACCAACATGTAAATTTGGGTATCCATGGAGATCAGGGTGGAGCTTGTGAAAACTCCACCCACACCACTGCTCTGGTAACAAATCACCACAAATTATTCAATCTGGAAAAACAGTACCATCTACTGACTTTACAGATTTACAGCTTAGATTTTCAGCAACTGGCTTTGGCGTCAGGTTGTTTAGGACAGGTTTTCTGCCGTTGTCTACTTATGTGGCAGATGAAGAGTAGCGCTTTAAAAGGTTTTAAAAGGTTTATATTATTCTTTTAATCCCTTATGTTACCCAATTTTATTACACACTTCTATAACCTAAGAATAGCTCAGCCAGTGTGCATTAAAGTCGCTGTAGTTACTGAATAATAAGCCTCAGTATGTAATAAGCCTGAGATTTTCAGGGATTAATGAGAGTTTTACCTGGACTTCCTCCTCCGCAGGTGAGGCTTTCTATTGGAAAAGAGAAAATCACAAAGTTAAATTCAGAAAAAAAAAAACACTCAGTTCTCAAACAGAACCTACCAGAGTGAACCTTTAAGTTCCTACTGTGCTCTCTTAGAAAACCCATGCAGTTAAAGGAGAATTTCACAGATCTTTCTGATTTTACAGTGGTGCTGATAGGAACCAGGGGTCCCCATGACTACAACACAAATATAGACATTTGATTTACTATCCAGAACCACCTACACAAGTCTTCTGAGTTCATATGGAATGTTGATGATGGAAAATAGTGAAAAATCTGAAATAATATGTTTTCTTTGGGGACTATTTTGCCTCACAACACAGTGCATGTACATCTCCTTCTGGTTCCCATCACCACTGTGTACTTTCTCCAAAACACTGAGCATTTAACACCAAACCACTCTGGATGACTTTGTTTACATCTTAACCATTTAATCATGCAGAATTTTTGAGAAATGGGTGGAATTCCTCTTTAATTCAACAGAATGGGGGTTATTTTAACACCAACAGCATTGTTTCCATCGCTATGATGTGAGAGCTGTGGAAGGGATCAGGTGGACTAGAATAATGGAAAACAGCACAACAAGGAGATGGTTACATATCCAACAGACCTAAAGGGCAACAAACGTTAGAGGTCAGAGATTAGAGGAGGAGGAGTCTGGAGGAGTCAAACCTTAGGAGATCAGGGAGGAGAAAGTATTAATAGGGGAACAAATGAGAAGCAAAGGGAGGACAAACAATGTACTCTGAGAGTGAATTTACACTTTCTTCTTCTGACGGCTCCTCCTGCTCCTCTCCTTCCTTCATCTCTTCTTCTACAGCTTCTTCTCCAGATGTCTTCTCCTCCTCCGTGTGTGCGTTTCCATTCTGTTCCTCCATTGGTATCGCCTCTCTCTACAGGTAAAGAGATCAACGTGCCCCCAAAACAGAAGAGAAGTATTAACCTGTGTGTGTATGAATGCAAGGCTGCAGCTGATGATGATGAAGCACCATCACTGTAAGGAATGTTCTGGGAAAAACAGCAGGAATTCCAGCTACTCCACCAAACTTTCAGCTTAGTTTGATCTAACTCTGGATTTTCTGCCGATGCTGGATCAGCCTTTTGGTGCTATATAGGGCCACATATAACACATTCTCCATCAATCTGAAGAACCATTTCACCCTGCAGAGAACCATTTAAGCATGAAATGATTCTAAATAGAACTCATGATTCTTCTTTCCAAGTCTTCAAGTCAGCCCTGTAGCACCACCAAATTGAGGGCTACTTTAAAAACATAGCGCCACAACATGGCGGCCTCTGTTGGAAGAGGAGCTGCTCCCTATGGAGAGATGAAGGGCTCATTCTAAGCTAACGGAAACACAGCTATTCATAGTTACAGCTGATTATACACTAATTAGACATGGTTTTGTTACTATATTCCGATTCTGATAACAGATCCCGCTAAAGTTCCAGTTCTAGCTGAATGTAGGAGAATAACCCACAACATTATTGTAGATATGATGCAGTAGATCCCTCCCCCTAATCCCCAAATATTTACATTTTTACCAATTTTAAAACCTTCATTAATTCATTTTCTGCATGAAAGGGGAATTCCACCATTTTGTTTGTTTGTTTGTTTTTACCATATTTCAGTGTGTGAGATGTAAACAGAGAGTTTCAAAGTGGTTTGGTGTGAAATGGTTCAGATGTCTTCACAGTGGTGGTGATAGGAACCAGGGGTCGCCATGACTACAACACAGATACAGACATTTTATTTACTATCCAAAACCACCAGTGAACCTACACAAGTCTTCTGAGTTTATATGGAATGTTGATGATGGAAAATAGTGGAAAATTTGAAATCATACGTTTTCTTTGGGGACTATTTTGCCTCACAGCGCCCTGCATATTATGCATCCCTCCACCATGAATGGAGTTTAAGGCCAAAATCTTCAAAACTATCATAAAACAGTGTCTCAGTCATCAGGCAGTGAATTCATAACCCATTCATGTAGTAACTTTCTGTGAGGGAGCTTTTACAAGTGGACGTCTGGGTCCTATCACCACCACCGTGAACAATTCTGACTTGGTAAGTTTCTCTAGAACGGAGCGTTTTATACCAAAACACTCTGAATGACTCTGTTTATATCTCAACCATTTAATTATGTAGAATTTTTTAAAATTGATGGAATTCCCCCTCAAAACTGTCCTTGAAATGAAGCTTTTAACCGTAGAAGGGAAAGAATAAAGGACATTACGATGTGGGTGCCCACCAGTCAGTGAAGAGAGGAAAAATTAAACAGTGTTTGATGAATCAGACTAGAAAACAAAGTGATGATCATGCTTTAAACAAATTCTCCAACACTCCCTGATATAAACATGCCAATCTAATTAATAAACACAGAAAAGGTTCATGTATATGTAAACAACAGATCAGCAGGGACGGAGAAACAGAGGGGTGCAGTGAATGTGAAAGAGACTCATGCCTTCAGAGGAATGTTAGTCAGTGATGAGAGGAGCCTAAAGAGGAAGAGGAGGAAAGAATCACGCTCTGATATCTGTGTGTAAACAGGCTGAATGATGTAATCTGTTAAACAGTGCGAGGAGAAAAAATAAGGAAGGTCAGAGGAGAATTACTGAGGTGTCATCATCACGCTGCTCCTCAGCTCCATCCTCAATCGTCTGCCACAAACCGGATTGTTTTGCTTCCTGCATCAAAAAATCATTTTCATTATGAGCTGGAGAAGCAGAACAGACAGATCACTGATCACTGAGTTCATACACACAGAAACTGAACCAGAATCAGCTGTGATTGTCAGAGCAGAACAGGCAGATGGACAAACAGATAGATAGATAGATAGACAGATAGACAGACAGACAGACAGATAGATAGATACACTGTAAAATGTAACAACTGCACTAGCTTAATTTTTTACTTTACTCATCTGTTACACTTACTAATGCAAATCTAGTAACACATACAATTTCTTGCATAATCCTTAGTTACTTAGGTAAAGTTAGTTGAGATCAATTAATCTGCATAAGTTCTACAGACTGAAGAGTATTTAGTCTAAGTTAAAACAACTTAAATACTACAGAAAGTTGGAGTAACTTAATCAGACAAATTCAAACCAACTCAAAAATGAACTGTTGAGATAGTAACTCAGTCATTTTGAGTAAAATCATTTGTTAACATATTTTGAGTTAAGTTTACTTTATTCAAGTATTTTATGTTCACTATTTTTATTTAAGTTGACTTTACAGGTGGGTACAGACAGGGTTGGGTTAATATTCAAATGATTTGGACTTCTCATGCTTTTCATGTAACTTTTGACAGCTTTGGACATTGAAATGGGATCTTTGAGTTGAATCAACCTCTTGCAGTTTAGTTTAGTTTGTTAAGAATTCTCAGCTTTACTTGATGAAAGCTTGGTCAATGCAACCTTGAGTAAAACCTGCATCATTCCTATTGGCTCTTGGTGGCATATTGGGCGTGTCTTTCCACCTTGTTTAACCTACCATCTCTGTGTAGTCATTCTCCCCAGCCTTCTTTCCTTGGGCACTTACTTATTTTCTAAATTTTGGGAGCTCCTCTAATCCCAGTCAGTACTGACTGTAGATCAGTGCTGAGTAATCTGAGCTGCCATGACCCCACCTGCTGAGTGTGGCCCTGAACACTTCAGATCACTTCTGCATTCTGGGCTGAACTGTCAGTATAGGGCGAGATGGTCCAGAACAGTATTAAGTTCAACTGTTTAAACCGTTCTTGTCATAAATGTTCTGCCATTCAGTATAAATTTGCTAAAATTAAAGCCCAGTTTAGCTGTTATTGGAAGAAACTGAGTTAGCTGAACTTGAGTGGCTGGAGCTGTGTAAAGGCAGTAAATATAAATTAGAATGACTTAACTGTATTGAGTTGGTACCATTATTATATAAGTCCAAAATACTCAATCATTTTAAGATCAAAGGAGTGATTTACTCAATTTACTTAAGTGGTGTTTTTCATACTCAGTTCAGGGAATTACTCATGGTCAAATAATTTGAGTAACCTAAACTTAGATGGTTTAAGGCAATCGGTTTCATTAAACCATTTAAGTTCACCGAACTCATTAGGTTTTACAGTGTAGATAGATAGATAGATAGACAGACAGACAGACAGATAGATAGAGAGTTAGACAGACAGACAGACAGACAGACAGATAGATAGATAGAGAGACAGACAGACAGACAGACAGATAGATAGATAGATAGATAGATAGATAGATAGATAGATAGACTGACAGATCCATACATAGATAGATAGATAAATAAACAGACAGACAAACAGATAGATAGATAGACAGACAAACAGATAGACTGACAGACTCATAGATAGATAGATAGATAGATAGATAGACAGACAAACAGATAAACAGATAGACAGATGGATAGATAGACAGACAGACAGACAGATAGATAGATAGACACATAGACAGACAGATAGACAAGCAGACAGACAGACAGACAGATTGATAGATAGACAGATAGACAAGCAGACAGACAGACAATGTATAATTTGAGCGAATCTGATTAGATTATTAAACTCAGTGTAAAGCACACACTGACCTTGAACCCAGGTGGGGGGGTCAGACCGAGGAACTCGTACACTGAGTTTTCCTCCTTGGCGTTGAAGAATGTCTCGTAATCCTGAAACACCAGAAATCAGTTTTTCATACAAATTCCTCCAATAAATACACAGTTCTTCTCTCCTCAGCTGTGGTTCTCAACTGAAGTCCTGCAGATCTGCTGTTTCAGATATAAGCTCATCATCATCATCACCTATAAATTAAGATACAGCCTGTTTTTCACCAGGAAGACTAGAATATCCACGTCTTCTGGACTGAACACTGAATTATTGTGCCAGACTGCGAGTAAGTTGTGGTTGTGAAGTCACAGGTGTTTGGTTTAGTCTGATTGGTCTCATTTACAGGCAGTTTGCCAGCTCCATGTTATTGGGTTAAATTTTCATACTTAAGTCTTAAGATGCTAAAACATGCTGCATTTAAAACTGCAGCTCTTTGAGTTTGAAAACGGCACTTTTTAAAATTGTAATGCCGATATAAACATGATTGATCTGTCAGTCCTACAGTGAGGGCTCATACACTCTATGTTACACACAAACATTTTGGGTGGCACAGACTTCCATACATCTTCCATTACTTGTTAGCTATATCAGCCTTGTAGCTCCAGAGCTAAAAATAAAGAAGCAAACTTCAGACACCAAACAAATCCTGGCTGATCAACTACATTTAGGGTGGGGGGCCTGACGGAATCTGATTTTTCAGTGAACTGTTCCTTTAGTGACAGATATAACGTATACACCAATTAGCCGTAACATTAAAACCACCTCCTTATATCTACATTCACTGTCCATCTTATCAGCTCCACTGACCACATAGTTTACTCTGTAGTTCTACAGTTGCAGACTGTAGTCCATCTGTTTCTCTGCATACTGTGTTACTCTGCTCTTCAGTGGTCAAGACCCCCACAGGACCCCCACAGAGCAGGAACTATTTGGGTGGTGGGTCATTCTTGGCACTGCGGTGACACTGACGTGGTGGTGGTGTGTCAGTGTGTGTTGTGCTGGTACGAGTGGATCAGACACAGCAGTGCTGCTGGAGTTTTTAAACACCTCAGTGTTGCTCCTGGACTGAGAACCAAAAACATACAGCCAACAGCGTCCTGTGGGCAGCGTCCTATGACCGCTGATGAAGGACTAGAGGAGGACCAACACAAACTGTGCAGCAGCAGATGAGCTATTGTCTCTGACCTTACATCTACAAGGTGGACTGACAAGGTAGGAGTGTCTAATAGAGTGGACAGTGAGTGGACACAGTGTTTAAAAACTCCAGCAGCACTGCTGTGTCTGATCCACTCGTACCGTACACACTAACACACCACCACCACGTCAGTGTCACTGAAGTGCTGAGAATGACCCACCACTCAAATAATACCTGCTCTGTGGGGGTCCTGTGGGGGTCCTGACAACTGAAGAACAGGGTAACAAAGTATGCAGAGAAACAGATGGACTACAGTCTGTTACTGCAGAACTACAGAGTGACACTATATAGTAAGTGGAGCTGATAAAGTGGACAGTGAGTGTAAAAACAGGGAGGTGGTTTGATGTAAAGGCTGACCAGTATAAATCTATAGCCTTACAATCTGAACTGTCAGAGCAACTGACCCCACAGTAGTTCTCCTCGTTGAAGATCTGCGGAGGGAGGGGGATTCCGTTGGAGGGCTTCATGTCTCCGGGTACATTCTCCCTCATCCACATACGGTTCTCCTCGTTTGAGGCGATGTCCAGTTGCGCGTACTCAATCTTTAACGCTTCCAGGAAGCCGAGCACATCCTGCTGCTTCTTTTTTATCTGTGAGAACAAATTAAACATTTCAGTTACTCAGTCAGGATCAGAACTGCTTATCAATAACTCTGCACAGTGTATCTTTCAGTAATCGTTATCCCAGTATGAGCCTCTGCATTTAGCAGAAGGCTACAATATGCAAATGAGCCCTCTAACCAATCACAGAGTCTGTATACAGTGTGCTGCGAGCATCCTGACCAATCACAGCTCCAGATGAGCTTCTGATGGTGTTCTGATGAATCAGCGCATTCCCGTCAATTATTCTGATCAAAAATAAAACTTGTCCGTCTTTAATCATGTCCTTATTGATTCATTAACATGTTTTTGATTAGGGCGATATGGCAAAACTATCATATCACGATGCTTCTTGAAACTGTATATGATGCAAATGAATTTAACGTTTCACTCACTGCGCTGTGCTACATCCACACTCTTAAAAAAGATGGTTCTTTGAGGGTTCTTTAGTAAAGAAAATGGTTCCACATAGGACTATAAACACTCAAAGAACCCTTTGCATGGTTAAACGTGCATGAATGTGCTATAGATGGTTCTATATAGAACCTTCTTGAAAAGGGATCTATATGGCACCCAACAGGGTTCTTCTATTGTTACAATGCCAGGCTTGTAAGAATAGCAGAACCCTTTTGGGTGCTATATAGAACCCTTTTCAAAAAGGTTCTATGTAGAACCATCTATAGCACATTCATGCACATTTTCCATCAATCTGAAGAACTCTTTAATGATGCAAAGAACCCTTTAATCATGCAAAGGGTTCTTTGAGTGTTCATGGTTCTATGTAGAACCATTTTCTTTACTACTAGAACTTATTATGGCATATTGTGATGCAATTTATCATGATAACGATAAATATTGTCATACTGCCCAGGTCATGTAATCATAATGTTGTTTTTGGGTTCATATCGTTCAACTATTTATCACTACGTTAGACATGACTTAACAAAAATCAATTCAGTACAAAAGTCAATTAAGTACAATTTTTTTTGCAAAACTGAAACCAAGTACAAAGTTCCAGTTCAGTATGCAGGGATCAGTTTGAACGCACTTCTAATTTAAACTAATATTGACAGTAAAGGTCAAATATGTGTAACTTAAGTCTATACACGTGAGCTGTGACACTAAGATAATAGAAGCCTTTCACTGCTCTTGGGACAAAACCTTGTATCTCCAAAATGGTAACTTTACAGGAGAAGAAAAAAACGTACTTTACTTTTAATGCAAGTCTTTTGGTAAATTTACACACAATTTAAAGGCCAACAGGTATTTTCAAATTATGTCACAAACTGAAAACTACCGTGATATTCTTACAGCATTGAAGCTTGTTGAAAATAGGAATGCAGATAATTGCTTAAAGGGCCAATAATATTAATAACTTTCACTTTTTTAAATGAAAGATTTTGATGTAATATGTAAACACAGTTAAAGTTTCAAAATGCACCATTTACTCCTCTATATTTACAGTCCACGCGTAGAAAATAAGCTAATAATTTATTAAAATAATTTATTGTTTCTGTGAGGAAGTCCAGAGCGGCCTTGGGGTCGTTGTAATTTTCTGTATTGTTCTCTTAAGATAACGAGTTAACTATCCTGCGATCTCAAGATAAAGTTTTTTTTCTTGAGATAACAAGTTAACTATCCTGTGATCTCAAAGATAACAAAGTTGCTTTTTTGAGATAACGAGTTAACTATTTTGTGATCTCATGATATCAACTTTGTTATCTTGAGATGACAAGAAAATTATTGCGTTATCTCAAGATAACAATCCAGGCAAATAGCCTCTCTGGACTAGTTTTTGTGATGTTGCAAAAACAAATGCATTTACCTACAACCTCCCATTCAGCCTGTAGTAGTTTAGCCCCGCCCACTCACACTGATGTTATTAAAGACACAGTATAAAAAAACATCCTCTTTAATTGAGTGGTATGTGATGACGTTTGCATTATATTCTGAAAGGTCAACAACTTTTCTCTCTGCACTTCATTCATTACACTTTTATTCATTTGTAACTCTACAAAAATAAGTGTAATTCTTTGTGATCATATTCCAGGTTCAACGCCAGTTTCTACATTTTAAATGTTTACGTATTTCTATCAACAGATATATGATAAATTTACAGACATCAGCCTGTATATACCAGTGCATAAGTGGAAATCAAAAAGTATGGCAAATTAAAGAACATTCATTTTAGTGTACATTTGCTAGTATCTATATTGTGAATTTAGCACTGTTATCAGAGTTTTTACATTTTTTGCTGTATGGTAAACATTTTTAGCCTTGTTTCTTCCTGCGAGTATCATTGCTGTTAAATTAAATCACTTAAAATGACTTAAAGCTGTAACTTTTTGTGAATTTTTTGACCACACAAGCACAGTAGCTATGATATACCAGTAGAATATTTTTGCTGAGCCTGTAAATAACAAATTATATTCAATCTAGAATAACAATAAGCCTGCAAACTATAAATGTGCCTTATGTGAATGTCAATACTACAGGAATTTCTACATGATTCCTATCAGAATGTTACACTAAATACAGCCATTTGCTGTAGTTTACTACACAAGTGCTCATATATATGCAACTCAGACAGGATCATATTGTACTGTTATTATAGAGAGGTGCAGATTTTATTATAGACGTATTATACAGGACTATGGAAGTTATAATATTGTTACAGTTCTTTTTTGGCACTTTTACATAATAATAAAGAGACTTTTGTAGACTTAGTTTCAGTTAAACAGATCTTCATGCACTTTCCAGAACATTCAGAGTGAGGAGGTTGTCCAGGCTGACTGCTGCGCTGGTGCAGGTTTGGAATGTGATCTGCAGAGATATATAAGGAAACTGCAGGAGGCCTGAGAGCTTTGCTGCTTAAAGTAGTTCAAAAATAAAGATTATATTGATATATGGTGATCAGTCTATACTTAAAGAGACTGGCAAAGTTCCCAACTGCATCTGCATTTAATTTTACTAAACTAGGCCGAGTTAAAATGCTAGACTTAGCTAGACTAAGTTTGCTTCTTGTGCGAATTGTCCAGTTCCACCTTAAATGGTGCAGAATGTAACTGCTGCACCATTTAAGGTGGAATGGGAAAATTCCAATGTAGCCTATTTTTAGACTACAGAAAAAGAGCTTACATACAAAACACGTGTGCTTACCGCCGTCGACCCCGAAGAAGATGCCAGAAAAACTTTGATGACCATTGTTAATGTGGAAATGGAAGTAGGTGAAGGCTGAACAGACAGACACTGGAGCGCACAGAGGGCACTGACGGTGTGGAAGCTAGAGCTATTTCTGTCCACAGCTCGGGCATAGGGAGCTTTAGGCGGGGGTCTTGCTGCAAGGGTCCCTCAGTGGCTGAGTGATTGGCAACTTCAGCTGTCTATTTCACTGACTGCACTAAGTTAGACTGCAGTAGTTGTTTGGATAGGGACAGAAATAGAGGCCTGTCACCACCCAGGCCGGAAAAAAAACAGTATTTTGCGGTGCATTTGTCGGCCAGACATGGCTTTATTCCCTAAAGTCATGTCTTACAATCCACTTAATCATATGTACAATCTATTAAATATATGTATTTATTATTTTTCGCATTTGAAACTTTGACTTAATTGTTCCGGTGCGGCGCAAACGTGCAGAACTACGCCATCTGCTGGCCATGTCCATATTGTTTACAATCCAATTCTTCATTTTTGTTTGTTTGTTTGGATCAACATGCACATGGTTCTTTGAGTGTTCATGGCTTTATATAGAACCATTGCCTCTACTAAAGAACCCTTGAAGACCTTTTTTTTTAAAAGGAGACAATACTAGGGGCTAAAAAAAAAACTATAAAAACATTACTTAAGAATCTCTTTATGGCATTCATCTGTTTATTTATATTACTAAGTGTCAGTCTGTTATAAAATTAACAAAGCAACTATATAAGGTTGAAGCAGGTCGCCACAGAAGCAGACAAAGACTAAGCGTTTGTCGCTACACATTTGCATTTGTTTTAAAATAATTCTTCATAAGGAAATTTTAAAAACAAATTTAAGAAATCATTTAAAGCTGGAACCTTTTTTGTGATCAAACAACCACAGCGGCAGCTACTACAATATAACAGTGGAATATTTCGCTGAGCAATGTAACTGTAAAGATTAAAATACAATCGAACTACAAATCCCAGTGATCGGTGCCTGCGCCGCTTTATGCGACGTGCAGATTTTGTAGTCCGTTTTGGGCCAGCACTCGTAAAAGCTATATTTCTTCTTTTAACTGTCAAATATGCATTTATAAAAGTGTCAGAGTGTCAAATAAAGCTGAGAATGGGGGCGAGATGGCACGAAATATTGAATAATCTACAATCTGCATCAACTCCAGTTCGAACGCAAACAGCAGGGGGCGCGCTTGCCGTCTTCACGCCAGCGTTCTGGTTCCCATGGAGACCAACCGCTAACCTACGCTAAGCGAGGGTAAATTAAGCTAAGATTTTGTTAAACTATTACAAATCTGTCGCCACCTCGAGGATAGTTTCCACTGGAAGCACGTGAGCAGCATTTAAATATAGAAGGAGATGCTTTAGAAAAGTGATATTCTTAATAATTTACGAATAATTTAACAATCAACGCAGTAAAGTTAGCGCCTTTCCGTCCTATCTTAGCTAGGTTAGTCAGCTTTGTAATAGTCTAGTCAGGAGCTGGAAGATGTCTGTGTCTGTTAATAGCAGCTTTAAATAGTATATTTTAATAGAAATTATACAAGTTAACTTATCTTCTTATTCGATTTTCTCAGTCCACCTTAGCTAACTAAATGCTGCAGCAGTTGCGTTATGGCGTCAAAGGCGTTACAATAACTGCTGCACCATTTAAGGTGGAACGGGAAAATTCCAATACAACCTATTTTGAGCCTACAAAAAAGAGCTTACATATGTAGCTAAGTTACTCTTAAATTAATGGAAATATATCTTTTACTAAAATATTACATACAGCTTGTGCTGTAGACGAACCAGTAGATCATATGTGTTACTACAGATTCTGGTTGCTGCCCACATAATGTGCATTTCTACAAAGATTTCACGATTCTCATGTTAACCAGGCCATACAGTAGTAATTTACTCAGGTATACTCCAGAGTAGTTTACTCAGGTTTAGTCCAGTGTCATTTACTCAGGTGTAGTCCAGTGTAATTTACTCAACTGTAGTCCAGTGTAATTGACTCAACTGTAGACCACTGTAATTCACTCAGGTTTAGTCCAGTGTAATTTACTCAACTGTAGTCCAGTGTAATTTACTCAACTGTTGACCAGTGTAATTTACTCAACTGTTGTCCAGTGTAAACTTACTCAGGTTTAGTCCAGTGTAATTTACTCAACTGTAGTCCAGTGTAATTTACTCAACTGTAGTCAAGTGTAATTTACTCAACTGTAGACTAGTGTAATTTACTCAACTGTAGTCCAGTGTAATTCACTCAGGTTTAGTCCAGTGTAATTTACTCAACTGTAGTCCAGTGTAATTTACTCAAATACAGTCCAGTGTAATTTACACAGGTGTAGTCCAGTGTAATTTACTCAACTGTAGTCCAGTGTAATTTACTCATCTGTAGTCCAGTGTAATTTACACAGGTGTGCTTCAGTGTAATTTACTCAGGTGTGCTTTAGTGCAATGTACCATCGCTCCGCTATAGAGGATCTTCTATCAGCTCTTAGTGAATGAAAACATTTTGAATATAGTTAATATGTAATATTTGTCATTAAGAGATTATTGTAAGAATATTATAAGATGGTTTAGCCAATTTTTATACTGTTTTACTTGTTTTAAATAACTGTATCTGTAAAAAGTGTCTTATTCCATTCACAGATTTTACTTGTGAGAAATAACTCTTAGTTACGTCTTTGTCTCTGAAAATCGCAGTGGGTAATCTGAGAAATGTCTGTGAGACATCATGGCCAGAAAGAGGAGCCACAGAGTGCTCGCTGTACTGAAGATGAAGAACAGGAACCCTGTGGTCAGGATGAAGAGCTTCAGGATTCCCACACAGAGATCCACAGTCCTTCAGATAAATCGAGCTGTTCCAGAACGGAGCTCAGGTTCAGCTCAAGAATAAGGAGTAAGAAAAGCTCTGATAGATCCTCTTCATCACCATCGTCTGAAGAGGAGGACGAGTCTAGTGCTGTGCTGCCGCCGCCGAGCCCATCAGCCACCCGCAAAAAGCTGAAAAGACCCAAAGGTATTTTAAACTTTTGGAATGAATGTGTTTAATACAATAAAATCAATCAGTTGTAAGATAAAGGGAAATGATCGTAGTCTGTTCATCCTTAACAACTTCACAGCTTCCTGATCATCAGCAGGACTCTGTAAATAAAAATGAAGAAACGTTTGATGATCAGAGCTGTAGAAGGTTCTAAAATGGCTGAGAAAACTGCAGAACATCACGAATGAGGTTCAGATATTTAAATTCATCTCACATAATCCATTTAACTTGACAAAAAATTATGTACATTGATAATAACAATACTAACAATGTTATATTTTATAGTAACAACTTTATTTCTAATAGCAGTTATTATTTATCTTTAATTTATCATGCAATAACTCCTTTTTCACTAAATTTTACAGTATTGAATGTAACATTTAAAAATAGCTTTTGGTGAATATTTTCTACAAATTACACGACTTATTATTAAATATAAAATAAAAAAAATGTAAATATGACAATTGCAAAGTTTTGAGCAGCAGTGTATCTACTACTGATGCCAATACGTAAACATTTATAATAAATAAATTGACTAAATCTATCTGCATTACAGAGAAATAGTAATTTTTTGTGTGTGTGGAGTTACAAACACAGTAAAATGGATAAATGCAGATATTTCAGTGCAGTAACTCAGCGTCACCTCAACATTCTGTTCTTCTGGATTTCAATAAACACATCATATATCAGTCAAAGGTAAACATATTTCTTTAAGCAGTTAGCTGCCAATACTAATATAATTCTGACATCATCATTCATTACTGGTATTTATCCTTTTAACTCCTTTATAAAACTTACTGTTTACTAAAAGGTACGGAAAAACTTCAGGTAGGGGGCGTGGCTTATGAAGAGTCATACATCCTACACAATGAGTACATCCTATGGGGGTAATGTGGGCAGGGTGGAGGAGGGGCTTATGCATCTGGGTGCACTCGGTTCACATAAGGTGGGCAGGAACAGGCGGGGCTTATGCATCCAAGTGCGTCCTGTCACAGCAAAGTGTGCAGGTTGGGGGCAGGGATAACACATCTGGGTGCATTCTATCAAAGTAAAATGGACAGCAAGGGGGCAAGGCTTATGCTATGTACACACCCACTTCTAATGACTGGGTTTTTTTCTGAAGAGTTTCTAAATTCTGGCAGTTGTGATGTTTGTAGTTTATTTTGGGGGCTGAAAAAGTGACCTGACCTGAGTAGAACAGAATTAGAGCCCTGTAGAACCATAACCATAACATTTTTCAAGACATAAAATATTCTAATCAGAATTAAAAATCTTATCAAATCAGTGCATATTTTACATATTTTACATATTGCAAATCATATCACAAATTAATGTAACAATATAATCATAATAGTTTCATCCATATTTGTCCATATATTTTCACACGTTCACATTAATCCATGTCTTTTTTGCTCTGTAGGTCAGAACAAATCTGGTCATTTCTATCAAAGGAACAGAACTCGCAGGGTTCCCCTCCTGCCCCCTATCAGGCTCCGCCCCCTGGACTTCCCCCGGCAGTGCATCGCATCAGCGCAACAGCAGCGCATCAAGCAGCTGAGCAGCCAGGTGAGGGATCTGCAGCAGCAGCTGAGCACCGCCTCGCAGGAGAACCGGCTGCTGCGTCGCCTGCACGGCCGCCACACGGTGGCGTTGCAGCGCCTTCAGGACATGGAGGCCAGCCTGCCTCAGATGCTCCGCCAGCACAGCGGAGAAGCGCGCGCCCTGCAGGAGCTCCTGCGCAGTGCCAGGAGCCGGAACAGCACCCTGTCCCGCAGGCTGAGGGACGCAGAGGCGGAGCTCCTGAACACCTGCGATGCTCTGCGGAGGCTGCAGCAGCTCAGCCAGGACCAGAGTCTGGAGGAACGAGAGACACTCACACAGCGCCTCAGCACCCTCTCCACCAGCCTGCAGATACAAAACCACAGGATACAGGTCAGAACAGATGTCTTTACTGTGGTGGTGATAGGAACCAGGGATCGCCAAGACTACAACACAAATATAGACATTTTAATTACCATCCAAAACCACCAGTGAACCTACACGTGTCTTCTGAGTTTATATGGAATGTTGAGGATGGAAAATAGTGGAGAATCTGAAATAATAAGTTTTCTTTGGGGACTATTTTGCCTCACAACACCCTGCATATGGTGTTTCCCTCCACCATGAATGGATTTTAAGTCCAAAATCTTCTCAGTACTATCATAAAACAGTGTCTCAGTCATCAGGCAGTGAATTCATAACCATTTCATGTCAGAACGTTCTGTGAGGGAGCTTTTAGAGTTCCTATCACCACCACTGTGAACAATTCTGACTCGGTAAGTTTCTCTAGAATGGAGCGTTTCACACCAAAGCACTCTGAATGTCTTTGGAGCTATTTCGGAAAATTGGTGGACTTCCCCTTTAATTATTAGCCATTACCGTTTTAGAGGTTTAACTTGTGAACCTTTCATGTGTGGAGACATAATAAGATTAATATTTAAGAGCTTAAGTTGTAGAGGTTTTTAAGAATAGCTCTCTTTCAGAATCATGTTTAAGAAAAAAATTATGAAGAAAGACAGTTTAAGTCTAAAGTTACGAAGAAACACATTTAAAATGGTTTTGTTTCTTAAGACAGTTGTTATTTAGTTATTTAGTGCACCTTCCTCACGCCTTCCTCATCCTTAACATATTAAAGCACACTGTTGTACTAATTGGTCTTTTCTTGATGTCAGGATTTGGAGAAGAACCTTGCGCTGAGTAACACATCATTTAATCGTCAGCTGAGTGCTGAAAGGCGGAAGACTGCAGAAGCTCGAGAGCTGGCCAGACATCTGGAGGAGGAGATAAAAAGTCTAACACAGAAACTCAAGGTAGGAGTTTTACTGATGTCAGGATTTAAAGCAGCCTAAAACTAGAGCTTGTGCAGGTTTATATCCTTCAACCTCATCAGTTTTACAGAATCACAATTTTATTTTCATTTATCATTTCCTCTCACTACAATACCCAGCATGCATCACTGCTCAGATACATCATAGAGTAAGATGACTTGATTTCTGGGTACACTTCCAGTTCGGCAGTCTATATATCATTGAAATATCCAATGTTTTGGATATGGATATGAGGGGAGATATGTAGATAGACAGGCTAACTCGCTAACTTTAGCTTTTAGCTTGTTCTCTTCATCTGATGTCATTTCTGTGGTCTGAGTAATCCATTCTCCAATCTGAAGAACGCTGTCACGATTCAAAGAGCCCTTCAATCATGGAAAGGGTTCTTTGAATGTTAATGGTTCTATATTGAACCATTTTCTTCACTAAAGAACCATTGAAGAACCATCATTTTGAAGTGTGTATAGAAAGTGCCTTATTCCACTGGCAGAACATTTTATTGTCTTGGGAAATAATGCAGATCATTTTGCTTATTTAAAGCAAAATTGCTTGAAACAAGTAAAATGATCTGCAATGTAATGAAACTTTCTCCAGTTAAAATTACTCAAAACAAGTAAAAATCATATGAAATAATTTAAAATGTTGTCACTCGCTAAGACAGATTTATGCAATGCAGTAACATAAGCTACCTATTTGTTCAAAACAGCCCCAAAAAAAGACCCCAAGAAGCTCCTCCCACCTTCAACGTGCATCATCAGAAGGGCTGTTTCTGTTTTACAACAGAAGTAGCAATGGAGAAATTTTATTTTGGCTGGAGTGTCACTTTAAAGAAATACTGAAGGTTTTTACAGCCTGATCTGCTGCATCTGCAGAATATGACTGATTATCGCAGGTTATAATTTCAGCATGTACTGATCTTAGTATAAGAAAAGAACACCTGTCGACTCTAAATACAAATATAATAGAAGAAACGGTCAGCAGCTGCCCACTGAGTCCTGCTATAAGTGTCGGCAGGTTCTCCGTTCTGTTTCTAAAACAGGGAAACGTGTGGATGTTACTGTCTGTGCTAATCGACTGTAGCGCTGCAGACTCAGCAGATAAAACTCTGCAGTATTCCTGTAACCAAACACAGCCTGTGGATATACAGTCATTATTTTAAGGCCCTTCAGAACTGTATTAAATCTATTCCTGTTGATTAATAAAACTGTATTTATTGTTCAATACAGGAAAGAGAGAAAGAACTGGAGATTCACAATATCTACTCGCTCAGATTCCTGAAAGGCCGAAAGAGAGGTAAATATGTTCTTTCCCAAAATTAGTAACAAGAAGCAGAGAGTAGGACAATCACACTGAACCTAAAATGGAAATTACACAGTCCTGTGTGAAAGTATGTGCACCCTTGGTCAAATGACATGTTGTGTTGATTTTGTAGATGAAAATAAGTTAACACATCATCTATAGCGCAATCCTGCACTGTATACAACAGTTAGCTCCAGCCATGGAAGCTGATTGGTTGAGAAGCGTTCTAACTGTGCTGTTATTTCGTTATTTCGTTTTTTTCACAAACACTGTATCACTCCTCTGAGACGCCGTTGCTAAGCAACGACTCTGACAGCTGTAGGAGCCATTTGAACGTTTTTACTTCTTACTTTGAGCACAAGCGGAAAATGGATATAAGATCACATTTGACCGACAGCCGATTTGGTCAGACTCTGAAGATGAGACGACACTAAATTCCCAAACTGTCATCACCACTGAGCAGCTTTTCAGTCAGCAGCTGAGACAGAAGAACAGCTAAACAACCTGGAATCAGCCAGAAATAAACCCAATACTATTCGCCAAACTAAATGGGCTGTAAGATGCTTTACAGACTGGCTGGGACAAAACAACATTAATATTGATCTGGCAAAAATTGACAAAACTGAGCTAAACCTGATATTGTGGCAGTTTTATGTCTCAGTCTGATTGAGTCAGACTCTGAAGATGAGACTACATGTTTGGCAAATAGTTTAACACTCAGTTACTGCTTATTTACTGAATTTAACGAAGTGGAGAAAAAAAAGGCATTTGCAAATGTTATTTTTTTTTTAAATATTGTTTTATGTTTTGTATGTTTAGTTTTTTTTCCAAATGATAAACTCAGTAAATAAATAGAAATTGTGCAGTGAAGTAAAAGCCTAATTTTTTCATGTGCTTTTCAGGAACTAAAGAAAGCAAATCAGTTCAAACAGTCTCTGTATCTCCTTCACCTGCTGAAGTTCCCACTCGTCCACTGCAGATAGAGTACCTGCCTGAGGAGCGTCCACCAGCAGAACCTCAGAACCAGCTGAACTCCTGGGTGAAGTTTATGTTACGCTGCATGTAGTCATGTATAGTGTGATGGGAGGGGTACAATGAGGTGTGTATAATGGAGGATTGTATAATATGGGGTATGACAAGGGAGTATAATGGGGGGTGTAATGGGAGAGTGTACAATGAGGAGTTGTATAATGTCAGTGGGGTGCAATGGGGGTATTATTGGGGAGTGAATAATGGGGTATGATGGGGAGGATAAAATGGAGGAGTGTGCAGTGGGGGTGTGTATAATAGTGGGTTGTATAACGAGGGGTGTATAATGGCGGGGTGTGTAACAGAAAGGTGTGTAACGGGTGTATAATGGGGGGTATATAAGAGGGGCATGTGTAACGGGAGGATTGTATAATGGCAGGTGTGTATATAATGGTGGGGGTATGATCAGGGAGTGTATAATGAGGGGGATGTTTAATGGGGGGTGTATAACGGAGTGTGTATAATGGGGGATGTTTAATGGGGGGGTGCGTGTGTGTTTACTGTAGTTGTTCCTGCAGGAGTTCTATGCTGGTGACTGTGCAGACAGTTTTAAGAGAGAAGCAGAAGAAGAAGAAGAAGAAGAGGTGGAGAATGAAGGAGAGGAAACGATTGAGAGCAGAACCACCGGTGAGAGCAGACACACTGCAGACAGCACAGCTCTGACCACTCAGACTGTAATGATCACAGTAAATCTCTGACCTCAGAGCCATTCAGACTGATTACAGTATTTAAGGTGAGACTCAGTGCATCATGAAATCTCACATTTCACCACAATTTGATTAAAATGTTTTGATGATTATTTTATTTTTAATAATGCACTGAATGCACAGATGTGACTGGCCAAAGTACACCACAAAAAAAGGGATATATTAGCAAGTGAATCATCTTAAATCTAGAAAATATATCTCATATTTCTCATATGAGTTGTAAGAATGTTCTAATATTAATTATTAATAATTTTTATTATTTACTTGTTTTAATTTTCATCTAGTGGAGTAGTCTATTCAAGTGGCAAATTATTTTGCTCTTTTTAAGCACCGTTTCTTTTTTTTTAATTAAAGCAAAATTATTTGCATTATTTTTCAAAACAAGCAAAATTAGTTGCCAATGGAATAAGTTCAGTTTTCAGTAGATAAAATTTGTTAAAACAGTAAAAAGGTCCAGAAATAAGTTTTCACTGGCCAAGATATCAGATTTGTAATTTAATGGAATATAGACACTAAAAACAACCACACACGTTTTTATTGTTTTTATTTTATTTAGAAATAACTTCAATATTTCATTTGGATCGACTAAATAATATTTGATTATATTTGATAATATTTGATAGTCATATGTGATTATAATTGATTGTTAGCATTATAAAGTAACATATAAATGCTTTTGTGGCACCATGTTAGGGTCATTGCTGTGCTGAGAATGGCTAATATTATCTGGTCAGTGGTGGTCCTACGGTAGTCTCTTTATATTGATGAATGGGGTAGAGGGGCTGATAAACTGTACAGTCTACAGTCTGTAACTGCACACCTACACAGTGGAGCTATAAGGCAGGTGTCTCTAACAAAGTGGCCAATTCAGCACTTATGAACTGGATTTTCAGTAATAGGATGTATTGATTCTGAGTGCTGTTTCTTCTTAGAGGATGGAAGTGATGGTGGAACTGATGGACCCAAGCTGGATATTAACACAGAGCAGGAGGAGGTGACCGCTACACCCTCTCAGAGCTCACCTTTACCTTCAGAGCAGCACAGCTCAGCAGATCAGAGCTTCCAGAGGTCAGTTGTTACACCATCACCTTCAGCAAACAAGTCTCCCATGAAGATCAGACGCCACTACGTATTTAAAGAGGCCATCCTGAATCTGCACTGCGGCAAACCTGCTTATGAACACAGACACCACAAAGGTCAGAGCTCACCTGCTCTCCTAGATGCCGGCGCGTATGAGCCTTCGTTCGTTCCAGCAGCACCAAACAACACCAGGAGCAGCAGCCTGGTGAAGGAGCTGTTTGGTCAGGGCCACATGGTGGAGCAGAAGCCCGATGTTAAAGGAGACGTTGGTCCCAAAAGCTCAGAGCAGAACTGAACAGCCTTCCATCACTCAAACTCCAAAACAAGCTAACACACCCCTCAGAGGAAATGCCTTCCACTTATACTGACCGGTTCTTTTAGCAGTGTACACACTGACCACTCTTTGGGATGAATATATATACAAAATAAACTATAACTGCTTTATAAACATCATGTTGAGCCACTTCCAGTGTAAAATTAGTCAGATATTTCCATGTGTCTACCTAAAGGCGAATTCCACCAATTTTCCAAAGTTCCTACATAATTAAATGATGTAAACAGAGTCGCTCAGAGCGGTTTGGTGTGAAATGCTCTGTTCTAGAGAAACTTAAGAGTCAGAATAGTTCATAGAGACCAAAAAAAATCAACCATTTTACACCAAACCACTCTGAATCACTCTGTTTACATCTCAAACACTCAATTATGAAGCAATTTTGGAAAATCAGTGGAATTCCCCTTTGAGTACAAAAGCATGAGACATGAAGGAATTCAGCATAATTGTGATCTATCTACACTATCAATAGATAGTCAGAAAGCAGCAGTGATGCTGTAATAGAAGTCAACAGGAATGTGCTTCTGTTATGAGTTTTGAGTCAGTGACTTTTCTGTTTTTTAGTAAATGCAGGCAACACCTGAAAAGTATTCTGAGCTAATCGATCATATGCTACAGATTAGGTCTACAAAGTAAACTGAAGGTATCAAACTATGAAAGAACACACAGGGAATTAAACAGAGACCAAAAAGATGTTGTTCTTCTTTAGGTCCTTCAGTGTCTGTGAATGTAAATGAATGTAAAAATCAGCAAGAGTAAATTTAACAGTAATGAATGTAGGTGACGCTGGTTTACTGCATTTATAGATTTCTCTGTAATGCTAATGCGCACAGATTAAGTTCTATGTTTTATACATGTTTATGTATCCGCAAATATGTACATGAAAAAGGTCATCAACTTCATTATTTATATTTGTTAAGCATTTAAGTATCAAGATCAGCATCAAGATAAAAATGTCTTCTAAAACGTGAAGAACATGTTCAATCAGAACTCAAATATCTAACCAAAACCTTGTTTTATGGATGTTAGATTAAATTATGGGAAAACATAAACTGAAGAAGTTACTTCAAATGCAGGATGATTTAAAAAGATTCATCCACTTTCAAAGCACCATATTTTTCCAACCATGAGGCACAGAGGAACCAATCACAATCCAACTGAAACAGGGGGTCATAGAGTTTCTGACTGTCAGCGGAAGATGGCTCCCTTCAGTCTGAGAGGAGATGCGACCCCTGAGCAGAAAGCGTTCTGCGTTCTCCACTTCAATAAGAGTGAATCTGTCATAACTGTGCAGTGTGATTTTTGTGGGCAGTGAACCTCCAACAGCTCAGAGCGTTCGTCATTGGTTCCACAACACTGGATGATCTCCAAAATCGCACTGAAAGAGCTGTGAGTGCCATGACACCTGACATGCTCAATGGAGTATGGGATGAATCTGACTATGGCGTTGATGTTGTCCGTACAGCTGGAGGAGGTTCATACTGAGACCTTGTACAATTACATAATAAACTTTATGCTCAATTAAACCATTTACAGTTTACTGCATTGTTCTGTAATGATTTACAAGTGAAATAAATCATTTTGAAATTGGATGAATCTTTTTGAATCACCCTGTATTTGTGAACCTGAGTGAAAGAAAAACTGCAGCACCTTTTCAGTTTGGGTTTTAATTAAAAACCAATAAAGTACAATCACAACTATCCTCATGAATGTGGTTTGATCAGGAATGACCTTATTAGGGCTCGCACAGGTAAACATCACATCAGTGCAGCGTCACAGCTGCAACAAGTTCTGTAAAAGTTCAGAGTTGAATTTCACATTTTTTTTTAAATTACAAATGAAGAAATAATAAATAAATAGAGAACTGTTCAATAACAATACATGAGAGATGCACATGTCCTGACACCCAGTTGGTGACTAAATGAAATATACTGGATTAAGTATGAATTAGCTAACAGCGTGGAGCCCGATGGCCACCACTTTGTTGCAGACCACCAACCAGCACGTTATTCCAACACCACCTACAGCGAACAGAGAAGAACACAAACAGGAGAACCTCACATTAAAGAACCACACTCAGACAGAACAAGAATATGATGATGTGTCAATGCTGGGTGATATATTGTTAATACCGGTGTACCAGTAAAAGTTTCACAACAGTATTGATTACAGTTTTGTTAGTATTGATAGAGACTAAGCCTTAAATCCACTCTTATGTTCTTATACATAACACAGAGGTGTCCAGACTTCCAAACAGCTCATTTATTCAGTTTAACTCTATTTCACTAACGGGCTGGAAAATTAAAAACCAGGGGACCTAAGTTTGTGTTTTCTCCCTAATCAGGTTAATCTTGTTCTTGCAGAGAAACAGTAAACATATACACATGTAAACATGAGTTCACCCTTTGAATAATGTTCCACTGACCAATAAATGATTGATATATTTCATCATATTTCTCTCCTATCAATGTAAACTGGGTCCTAATCTTGGGTAACGCTTCCCCTGACCAATTGCAGGGCTGCATCTCTAAGCACTGCCGTCACAGAACAGTTTCACAGTCAGAGAAGCTTAGCGAGCCAAATCTAACCCAGCAGAACCAAAAGCTAGTGAGCGAGACCACCTGTCTGTAGCTGCCTGTCGTCTGTTCACTCGTTTATCCAACATCAATATTGTTCACTCATCCGTCCCTTCATTCACACGCTGCTTCATCCGTCTGTTCATCTGTTCGTCTGTGACTTTTTCATCCAGTTAGCATCACATAAAAGTTGGATAATTCAATTTGGATGATTTTAGTTCTGTATGAGGGGCGGAGCCGGCTAGGAGTGTTAGACAGAGAGCCGTCAATCATGCTGCTCGTTAGCCACGCCCACACAGTTCTCAGATAGGTTCATGCAGTGGCTTTATCATATTTATATATTATATTTTTCATTGAAGCTCTGCTGGATGTTTAATATAACACTCAAGTTTAATGTCAAACATTTTAATATTTTACTCTGTTCCCTGAGACTTTAAAGAGCCCACTTCCTACAGTTTTCTTGTATTTTATTTTTCCCGCTCCACTTTTTACTTCTACAGAATCGTACCTGTAACTCCGGAGGGAAACGCTACGAGCCTCTCCAGCGGAGAGATCCACTTACTGGGCACCACAGTGACAGGGTCAGCGTAATACTTCCATATGAGTGAGATCATAAGAGCAGCCTGGTAACAGAAAAAACAGCAGAGTGTCAGCGTTGCTGAAGCTCAAGCAGGTTCTACTGAGTTACTGCTGTAACAGAACGAGAAACGTGACAAACTTGATTGAAATCAAACCATTTCATAATTTTCTACATTCTGATAATCAGATTATGCAGTTCTGTAAGTTGTTGGTTGTGAAATATTTACTGATTAGGGGGCAAAAAAGTGGCATAAACAGAGCTAATCAATCCCTGCATCATTAAACCGCTGTGGTGGCCAATATGACTATATTTATCATTATCGTGATTAATTATGTCACTATATGCTTCTCTAAGTATGTTGTGGATATCGTCAGTACTTAAAGAAGACCAGCTGCATGTATCATGTTTAATTAGATTAAGTGCAGCGCAGTGTTTACAAAGTTGCTATGCAAATAACTGTATTCAGTTCTTGAATGTGGCACTATTTCTCCTTCCAATTTATAAAACGTCAGCAAATAAATCAAAACTAAACAGAATTACTAATAATAAACTTTTAGTTTCAGTTTTTTCAGTGGGTGAAGGAGAGTTTAGACGAGTGTTCTCGTGTTTGGTCTGGAGCTGAGCTGAGCTGAGCAGCGTTTACTGCTGTGTTCATTTTATTCTGCTCTTATCAAACACCTGCCATCACAGCGCTCATCATAATACTAATAACTAAAACTAAACTAAATAAAAAGCATAACCCTAAATAAAACTATTACTTTTACTATGACCCTTCAGAAAATAAAAACAAAACTAAGTGCAAATAAAAAAATAACAACAATTGCAAAACTGTAATAACCCTGTCTGTGATCGGAACCGTTCTACTGTGGAAAAAGGCCTATGATCCACAATGTACCTATAAATCCACACAGAATGCAGGAGAATCCACAAACCAGGAATAAAGGATCAGAAAAGATCTGGAGAGGTTTGGTGTGGAGGAAACTGGGTTTATCTGAGTTCTCCAACCTCATATAGCTAAGAACACTCAGCACCGAACGCGCTAGTAATGAAAACAACGAGAATCTTTGAAGATCAGAAGAAAAAACAAGCAGTGAAACACGACGCAGAACTTACCTGAAGAATGTAGAAAACTATGTTGACAATCCATTTCATTTTAGCCTGCTGAGCGGTTCTCGATTTTACTGTAAAGAAAAAGACACAAAGAATATTTGAGGATTCTCACCTCGGAACATCAATCATAACTTACTCAGTGATTTACAGCTTTTACTTAAGCCGGCAGATTATGAACTACGCTGACCAGCACTGAGCTACACTCTACTCTTCTTCAAGAGTTCTAAAGACAATGGTTCTATATAGACCCATGCACACTCAAAGAGCCATTTGCAGGCTTAAATAGTTCTTTGCATGGTGAAATGGTTCTTCAGATTGATGAAAAACGTGTTGAACATGGTTCTACATAGCACCAAAAAGGTTCTATGATGTCAACCTTGTACTAACCATTCCATTCTATTTTTTGGATCATCACTTATTTTTGCTTTATGATTTTGCAAAAACGCCACTCTTTTTCTTTGCCGGGGCTCAATTTATAATACTAGCTTCCATGATCTTTCCTTTACTTAGCATATTCATAATTAAAATGGAAGTCCCACAGATTTTTGGCATAATTAAGTGGTTAAGATGTAAACAGAGTGGTTCAGAGTGGTTTGGTGTGAAACGCTCCGTTCTAGAGAAACTTACTGAGTCAGAATTGTTCACAGTGGTGGTGGAGACGTCCAACTCTAAAAGCTCCCTCACAGAAAGTTATTAAA